TATTATATCATTATTATTATATTCTGTCTTTCCAATATGGCGTCTATAATGTTCGAAAGTAACAACAGAGGAGTTGCGCGCAGTATTTACAGAAAAAAAAAACACATTGCATCCGTACATGGGGCAAATAACAATCTTTATAATTGAATCGATAAGTACGTAAGAGACCTAAATCTTGTATASTGTCAAAAATGTTCCTTCAAGGAATTGTACGATAACGTTTGTTACGTTGACGTTCGYAAAGTCACGTCCCAAATCCAGGGGGGTGGGCAGGTTTTACTATGAAAATATCGGACTGATTTTTCTTTTATTCAAAATGCTTGAAAATCTGTCACCTCTTCAAACTATGTTTTAACTGAATAGCCAACTATTTCAAACGCTAAAGCTTACATGTGACGAACTCATCACTCCAGCTCTTTCAGGTCATTATAATCTCGCATTCGTAGAAGTCATCACTTGTGATATTCGACATAACAAACGGTACTAGCTAAACTTGGTTTCGTACAACGCAATTCTAGTGTAATGCGATTAGCAAAATGTGTTGTTGTATTTTTTAATTGAGAAAGAAGCAAAGGGGTTGTACAGCTATTTTTTTCGCTGTCAAAAGTCAAACCCGATTCGCTAATAATGCATTTCATTTTAGAGGATGTCAAATAACTGTTATCCCTCCTTCGACGCACAGCAGGAATAACACATCCTCTAAAATGAAGTTTAAAAATTCCTTTAAGATCCCAATCCAAAATATATCAAGTAATAATGCATTGTTTCGTTTTATCGTAAGCCACTGTGTTAGACGCAGAAGTGTAAAATACCTGAATTTGAAATTTCTATAATGGTGCTCCCGCAAGGAAAAACGGGGTGAGTTCTTTCGTAAACTACGGATTAAAATTATCAATTCACTCAGTACTTATTAGGAGAATTGTTTATTTTCGAGCAAAAAAAAAAAAGGAACATGGTCTATTAGCGATATCCCTAATTAGAACAAGACGAAAATTACTGTTTCAACATCCCGACATAAACACTTAGCCTGTCGGATGGAACTTCGCTTAAAAAGTAATAAAAAACTCAATTTTAGAAGCCCCAAATTGCTGTCTAATGGACCCGAGCTCAAACAGCTAATAAAGGTTTATTGTTTGAATGCATTAGGCCTTGAGGATATACTCACAATACGCTTATATTCCTGCATGACGTTGCTATCGTGGCTATAAAGCTAGTTYGCAACCAAACTGAGGGTGAAACGGTTTACTATCATAGGAAGTCTGAAGAAAAAGCAACATTCAAGAAATTTCTGAGAAATCTGAACCTTTAAAAGTAAGAAAATACATATATATCATACATTCCTTATGTTCTGGTAAATATTATCTTCAAATCCTCTATACTATATATACTTTTTGCCTGTTTTGACACTCGACAAATTGTCAAAGTGTCTGCATTAGTTAGGACACGATTTGGGACAATTTTATTCCGTCCTTGGCTTGGAAACACACTCGAAGAGTTATTCATTGCGCCCATTGAGCGTGTGGTTTTCAAATCGAAATGGATATCAGTTTGAAAAGGGAATGAGAATGCTGTTCTAATTACCATTACTCATTCTTCCAAGATTCATACAAAGTGATTAACAACAGGGCTTATGTGATTAGGAAAATTACTTTAAACTTAGCAGGTATAACATGTTTTTGGTGGGGATTTTCATGTTTTTGCACTGATTGTAACTCGCTCGAGGAATTTTCTGAATTCTTATGGTAAATCTTCCATCTGATCAGTATAGGTTTTTTTTTATTGAGAACCTTTCAGCCAGCCCTTGAGCGTTATGGCAATCTAACAAATGTTAGAAACTAATATCAATATCTAGAAAAGGTAGAAATAATTACTGGAAAAAGAAAGGTTAAGAAATGTACATTTAATTCAGAATGCGTTTTTTTAGAACATTTCTTCTCTTTTTCTTTTTAAATAGCTCACAAGACGAGTGTATAAAGTGCTCTCTAGCTATAAATATCCTGGTTGGCTGGTTAGTTGGTTGCCCTTTTGTGATAAAGCCGCATACTCAAAGGCTTGTATTAGCGGGTAAAAGACCCTTTGTCAAAATGGCCGCCGGTCATTGGCATAAGTTTCTTTTCAACCTAACACAACATGACCCCTATGAAATACTATAGGAAACAATTCACTTAAAAGGTTTATAAAGTCCTAATTTCAATGAAAACTTGTAATTTTTTCAGTCAAATCCGCTTATAAGCGGTACCTCCAGCCATTTGCAGTTTGAAAAATAATCGGCGATAAATTACTGCTCAAAGTTCTATGGCTTCCTTGAATGTCGTATATCAATCCTTTTCAAATACTGACATCCCGACGAGTTGCTTTGGGTCGATGGAGACGCAACTACTGCTAGGCCGCCATTAAGAGTCGAGTCAAGAGTCTACATAAGCAGTACACTATCATAAAAGCATTTTATCAAATTACTGAAACCAGCCCGTTATAACTTCATTTCAGTGATTAAAAATTACAGGAAAATACAGGGAAACATATGTAGCTTCTTTCGAAACATTTTCATGGTTAAAATCTTTTTTGTTCGACACTGACTGATACACTATCATAAAAGCATTTTATCAAATTACTGAAACCAGCCCGTTATAAATTCATTTCAGTGATTAAAATTTGATGGTTAAAAACTTTCTTGTTCGACACTGATGACCATTTTTCAAAACGTATCAAWGACATTATCAAAACGTATGCAAAAGTAGTTTGTTTAGCAGATCAATGGCAGCAAAGTTGAGATAAAAGAAATAAGACGATTATTTATATCTTCTAACTACCGCGCTCAAATATCAATCRTATATCATATGTATTACATCTAAAATTTCAAACAATGAGTAGGAGTTCGGTTTGTTTGAGGTCGGTCTCCATAACAACAGTGCATRGGGACGTCGGGTACATGTGAAATATGCCCACCCTCGAATCAAAAACAATGAATTTGTCGGATTGCTTGATTGTAGTTTCTACTAAACTTAACAGTACGCTAGAAAATACAAAGAAAATGAGGGACTGTGTCTTGAGCTACAGAAGCAACGAATGAAAATTTTAACAGATTTTTATTTATCTTAATTTCTATTGTGTTTTTAGGGACTGCGCAATATTCATCAGAAGGGGTGGTTGAGAATCCAAAGAGGGGGGGGGGGGGGGGCAAAATCTAATTTTATGTGCTTATAAAGAGGGAGGGCAACGTCCCCCCTCCTGGTAAATATTGCACGGTCCCTAGTATCGATTTGCAGGGGGGCACTCAGCAAGAAATTCATAGACTGTACCGCTATTAGAATATGCTATGGTACTCATATGAAATAGAAAATCGTCGAAAAAGATAACGCATGCATATGGATGTGTTTTTAACAACATTGTAAATTCTGAAGCACGGAATTACGAGAGAAAGTAATTTTTTGGTGGTATTTTATGTAACTATGTGCACTTTTGCACCCATGACATCCCATAATTTCTTCATGATTCAAGATGGTAGTGGACGTCTTTGAAATCGGTTTACTGAATTTAAAAATTAATTAAGTAGGAAAACTGAAAAACAGCACTGTAAAGATAAAGAGTGAAAACATGAGAACAGGATGAATGAATAGATGAGAAATGGCTTAACATGTCTGCATTTTTAGATCCTTTTGAATAATCAACAAAACAACAATGTCAAGAAAGTTAACGAAGAGAGTTTAAAAAAAAAAACGATTATGAAGGATTGTTTAAGCAAGCAAACAGGCGAGCCACTTTGAAAAAGTATGCTTTTCAAGCCGATTTAGAATTAGGCAATGATAAATTTTATATATGCATGTTTGATAATATTATTAACGTGTTAACAATATAAATAGAAAATTAAATAACAAGACGATACAATCTTTTAGTATACAGTAACGGTTTTTTTATTGCTTGTTTTGAAAACAGTTCACTGTTATCTGGAAAATCACCGGCGTTTTTGTGATCAAAAGTTAATCACTTTAACTACAGTTGATACTTAACGAAAACTGCAATTACTGAAATGAGTATCAATTAAAATAAAATTCATTAACGGCGTACAAGCTCGGTTAAATTGAAAACACCGCTTTAATAAAAAAGAACACGATTATTAGTTCGAAATGTTAATTGCAGCAATTAAGGAGATCGAATGGATTTAATTACGACACTTAACCGATGATCACGTTATTGCAATAATGTTCCTAGATATGAATTTTTTTTCAAAAAATTATCACATACACTCAAACAGGTCAAAGTGAGAAAAAGTTGAACTCGAGCAGATGAAAAAGAAAACCTAATGAAATTGCGAAACAAAAAAATACCATAAAAACAACAGCAATAACAGCAAAAACATATGCTATTGCCCATTCGTAATGTTATTACCAGAATATTTGCATTATATAAATCTATTCTATTTTAATAATGAAAATCATTATAGTGTCCTCTAACATAAATATATCAATATATAAGTTAGCTGATACATTAAATGTGTCATAAACTGCTCAAAATAAGTTTAAATAACGCCTAAATAAGCTTAATTGTAAAGAGTAAGATTGATTTTTAATCTTATTTAGTGAAGAAAGTGCAAAAAAAAAAATCGCGTAGAAAGACCTTATATAAAGATATATTATATATACAATTATTTCAATTACAGTTGTCACTTCAAAAACACACGAGGAACGAAGCTGAGACCGAAAAGTATTGTGGGTACGTAGTTTTGAACGCTAYGAAAATGYCTCGTACTACAGCAATTACTTGTRYGCAATCAATCCATATTAAAGTCAAGTTTCAAAATGAATGATSTTGCATTCTGGTAGATTTTAGGAAAAACCGGTCAAAACGCGTGTAATATAAACGCACGTATATCCCAAGATGCTTTGTGGGTTTAGTTTTTACGTTTCTGAGTGACAAACTTCATTGAAATAAGTGTAAGCTCGCGGTTAGATTGTTTGCAAATGACTTTTTTAACAGCTTTATCAATGACGCAGGCAGATAAGCATTAGTAATAACCATATAAAAAGAATATCAAACTTTCCTTWGGCTAATCTCGAAAGTGTGCAAGTCAATTCACGCAGTACTTCAGTGAACACGACACGTGTGAGAGACGATGTTTGACTAAACATCCGTAAAAACTAGATAATCAATTGTCGAAAAAAATTGCCTCTTACGGTTTGACAACCACTTATAACGCCGGTATTGTATCATTAATGATTACTGAACGCTGTTTGAGYGGTAATTTCCTGAACTATTAATTTGGCGGTGGAATGGTAAAAAACGCTTATTCAACTGTCACTTCCCCAAGGCAAGCAAAGTGTTTTTGACGTCGTTCAACTGCCATGGATGTCTAAGAGCCGCTGTGCACGACGTGTGTCGCGGTCACGATCATTGTGCATAGACTATTTATATAAAAAAATGTTTGCTTTATAGAAAACCAGTTTGGACGTACCTGGTAGCTCGTTATATCAATCAATCGGTAAGAAATTTTGGGGCAACAATTATATYTTATATATTTGCGTATTGAGTAGGAGAAAAGATTGCTTTAGAAAGCGATATAGTTTGAATGTGCCTGGGAGGTCGCTATCAAAGCATGAAACGATTTGGTAAGAGGATGTTCGCATTCGCACGTTGAATTTTTCAATTTTGTGAATTGAGTGAAAGGTTTTTAGATGAGGAGTTACTATGGATCGGCCGTAAGGCTCTTTATAAAGGCTTAAAGTAATTAATGATGCTGTGTTTGTACTTTACTTGTCATTTTACACTTGCTGCACAGCTGAKTGAAAGGATTTATTTTTTTCATTTTGCTAGAAAGTTAATTTGGTCGGATAGCACTTATTGGAGCTTGTTTAGAAATCATAAACAAGCAGTGACTGATGGAACTAGCAGTAAACTAGTGTGAGCTGCGTCAGTGTTTCTAAGGATACAGTTGTGTAAAAAGATAAATTTAACAACGTAAGAAAGTACTTATAAAGACTGTATTTGTGCTTGATTTTCAAATTTGCGCATAACTGAGAAATAAGGTTTAGAATTGAAAAAATATGAAAGCCTTGACTCATAAAAAAATGTCATCACACTTAAGTTCATTCAGTTTTTTTTCTAGATTGCTCACTTCTATAGCAAGGTGGAATACGTTATTGCGTTATTACGTTATTGCGTTATATTATTAATTGCTATGTATTAAATAATCTGTGTCCAGAATAGAATTTTTCTGTTGCATGCCGATTTACTTGTCTTGACACTTAAGCTTACATACCATGAAAATGAAATGTTMAATTTCTATCCATATTTGGTTTATCTCTGATTTTGACCATGGAATAACCAATCAGAGAACAAAGTTGTTTCTATGCTAACCTGTCTAWRYTAAGGCYCGTTTACACAAGGTTTTTGCGGCRATTTTTGCGGTAATTTTGATCCTAGAGATAATGCTAAAGAATTAACTTGAACAGAACTTGAACTAAACGTTTCCTCAGAAGGGTAAGACAAAATCTGTTATGATTTTGAAAATCGCCCGACAAAAAATTGCAGCAAAAACCCGCCAAAACCGCAAGTGTAAACGGCCCTTTAACGTCCAAGAAAGTACTCTCTCCTAAATATATTTTATTTCCTTATTTTTCCATTAATTCGAGGCCAAATACTTGTTTTTCTTGTTTGTCTAAATGTTGATGTTTTATGACGGATGCGTTCAAACGTAATTACGCACAAACAGTCTTGATTAAACGTTGTCACGCTGCTCAAGTCCACGGGACGAGACGGAAAAGGACCATAAGGAAAAGAACCTTTCATCAGAATAATGGACATTTTAGACAAAATATGATTCATATCAGAACGACTTTTGTTTTCCGTGCGAAAAACATGTGAACTTTGAATGTGGAGTTCTCAGTTTACATYGTTAGCGATATGCATGCTAAACACTACCCCTTTGGTTTAGTTGCGAATATACGAAATCAACATGTATTGAAAAGGCTGTAGTCAAATTATGCATTAAAATTCATAAGAAGTATTTTACTGACTGTTTTTGCGGTTTAAAATAAGACAGAAATAAAAAAAAAAGTGAAAAAGAAACGACAGAAAATGAAAAAATGAAGAAAAAAACAAAATCGCGGTGCATTGTGGTCTACCTGAAGTAGAAACAACACCATATTTGCCTTTCATGAACAAAACATCCTTGATTCGAAACTAGATTACAATGGGAATGTTTTCCACACATCAAAAAGTATTCAATAGAATGAAATYACTCTTGTGAAACTCTTAACAAATCCAATATTGCAAAAAAAAAACACAAGGAAACAAGAACCTGACGTGCGATATTTTTACATTTTCGCCACAAAAAATCCTCAAAAATCTTTCTAATTTGTAAAATGATTAGCACGAGCCTCGACAGAAGTGTAAACTTGATTAAAAAGCTTTCAGATTTTTTATTGAATGTGGGTAAATACAATTTCTCAACAACGTGGGAGAAAATGCTCTAATTATAGTTCGTATTGTTGCGGTTTTTTTTTTCAAATGCAACATTAAAAACAGGAAACAATTACTGACACATTTGATAGCGAGTTGTACGCAGAAAAGTACTTGTTATGAGTAATTGGCGTTAAACTGTCGGATATCGGTCGTTTGGTTGTAAGGTCAGTTCTATTCCTTTATATAGCCACTTGGATTATTTATTGATTTAGGTACTTTGTTTAATGGATCCTTCTTTTCCCATCTTATTTATCAATTCTTGATTTTAACTTCTTTTTTATTCTGTTGTTATTTTTTCACATCTTATTTATCTTTTTTTTTACAGCTTTTTAATTTCTCATTTTGCATTTTTCTATCTTCTCTTTCCATCCTATTCATCAATTTACCACTTTTCTCCTGATATTTTAAAATTTCGCGTTAATTTTATATTTTATGTTATTTTCCCATCTTTTCATTCTATTTATCAAATCGTTGTTCTGTTCCTATTTTGAACTACTTTTGACTTTCTGATTTTGCATTTTGAATTCTTTTCAGTTTCTATCCTTTCTATCAATATATCTATTTCCTTCCGATTTTCAATAATTTCTTTTYAAATGCTAATTGTGCATTTTTTCCCGGCGTCGTTTATGTTCATACTTAGCTAGTTATCAATYTATGCACTCGCTCACTCGTATTCATAGCTACATCTTTTTCTTTCCGTTTTTGTGATAATAATCCAGTTTCAAATTCGACTGCAATGCTCTGTGTTACCCTCATTTTTGTGCGCAAAATATTCCTGATTGTGAGCATAAAAGTCTGAGGTTTCAATCAATTATACTGTCTTTCTTTTCAAATTTCATGCGTTTTYTCTGGATATCAATGAAACAAAAGAATRTGTTACTTGGTTTTGAGGCTAACACAGAGCAAACCAGATCTAGACATTGGAGTATTCATAGTAAAAACTAAACAACATTTGCTATTTCAGGATTTGAATACGCCATGACGGAAATATCATTTTTATATCCGCAAATCTTTTCGTTGTGATCAATGGTCTTGTTTTACATGTACCCGTATTTGACATTTTAKAAAACTGACACTTTTCTTTAAAGTGTATGTGCGTGAAAACGCTCAATATTCGCGAAAAAAAGACATCATGTGCAAAGGTAAAGAAATTGATGTGAGATCAGCGAGCAATTTTCATTGGTTGATTTAGTAACTGACATTTGTTGTTTTTTGGCGCCAAAAACATAGCCTGTAATGACAAAGAATTACAGTAGCAGTTCTCACAACTCACTTGTGTCGCTTGCTAGCTTTAAATATAGTAAAGCAGACAGCAATTAATTATTTGTCTAAAATTGTTTTGTTTTACTGTTTTTTTCTTTTAAGTGAGTGTGTTATTTTTCAATGTCGTTTTCATTTAGCTTCAATCATGATACAAAACCTTTAGTTAGTTTTTTGCTTTGTTGTCGGTTGACCGGACTGATAAAGTTCAAGGCACTTGACGGTAAAACTACATGTGATCAATTAGCCCTTGAAAAGGAAATTCTAAAAAAAAACTAAGATAAAGCAAATTGACATTAATATAAAACTACGAGTTATCGGTTCGATATTTTCAATTTGCTATTTTTTTGATTATAGGCATATGTATAAATGAATTTGAAATGAACAATACTGTATTTACAAGATAAAATAGTACTTACAATAATAAGACTAGATAAATATTTGAAATATTGTAAAATTTATAACTTTTCTTAAAACCTACCAAAAAGTCCTACAGATTTACAGATAAACAAGAACAACAACAAAAAGAACAGCAAAACGACGACAAAAACACAAACTTACAGAAAAAAAACGAAAAAAAAAAACACTAATCTTTTATTTTCAAAGCCCAGTGTGCACCATTATGCTTTGCGGGCCGCAAGGGCTGGCGGCGGCCATTTTCAGTTTACCGAAAGTCTACTGAACTGTACTGTGCGTTTCGAATCCGCTCATATCTTGACCATCTCACTTTTCTAAGCACTTTCAACGCTAATATTAGAGTTTTTAACTATCGGACATTCCTTTTATGGTGATATTTGRACACTAGAAATATTTTATATCTAAAATCTTAACAATAACAGAGGCGCGCAAAGCATAATGGTACAAATTGGACCTTAAAAGCATGTATGTATCAGTGAACGTAGAACTAACGAGCAGATGAACACAGTCTGAACTCGCATGCGCCAAAATAACGTCAAATAAACAAGCAATAGCCATTAACAAGAAACAGGATATTTATGTTATAAATTACGCGTAAGCTAGTTAACTACACAAGTGCATAAAAACAGCAATATCGTATTGAGAACCTCATTTTCTACGCGTTATTGAACAAATTACAATGATACGAACAAACGACAAGGAAAAGAGYGGACTCACAGGGACTTACGAGACGCTATTAATCGGGCGCCGATTTAATGTACAGACCTAAGCGTAATTGGTTGACACAGATTTGGTATTGGGTATCGCGGATTGCTGATGATACAAAGGTCATTTCGTATAATGCGGCAATCAAGTTGGATCTTTGTAATATTGTACTATAATCAAAACAAAAGATCATCTCGTAAAGAAAGGGCGGATATTTCAGAAGGTGAAAATGTGTGTTTGTTTTTTAGTGGTAAATCATTTTTGGCTCACATCGAATTGCTGTGCACTCAGTAGTTGTGGTGAGCATATTGTTTATACGAATTCATAGATTTGGATCAAAGTGATTTTTTTATGAACTTACATTCATATATACATATAAAAACTAAAAAAAAKGTTTGCTATTGGCGAATAATTTATCTGTGTTTTCCACTGATCTCATCCTTGATTATTTCATGGCTACAATCATATTGATAAATCCCTTTTATTCTGGAAGCTCAATTTTCATCTCTTTACATTCTGTAAGTTATTTCATAATAGTTCCCAATTTTCATCATTTGTCCAATGTTTTCCTTAACGTGATTTTTTTCCCTAAYGTTTTAATGCAGCTCAACATTAATGGGTTATATTTTACGAACGCTATATTCTGAAAGTTGCAGTGCTACACGTTGTATCACATTGTACGTTCCGGGTACTACATATGTAATTTCGGTTCATCGATTTTTTTCATATAAATAACATATTTGTTAATATTGAGTAACCTTTTCCCGCCAGGAAGTTTAATTCACATGTAGTGTTTTCCAAATGTTGAATATTGCATGCGTTTCATAAAGTCCTTATAAAAGSCTAGTTGCTCGCGTCATCTATGATATATATCATACTTTAAAATATTAATTTTTCTTTAAAAAGACATTTTATAAACCACAACACATATTGTTCCTGTCGTCGCATAATTTCGTTAGTTTTTTCTTGTTTACATTAGCAAAACCACATAAAATCTCATCGGATTTGTGTTTCTTTAACACGTAATGTTATTTTGTAAATACTGGTTAATGTAAAAAGCCCATTAGACTAGTATTCTTCCTGCAAGCACTTCAATATTGTCATAGCATTAATAACATCACACTCTTTATCGTTAAAGAAAACCATTGGCAATTTTCCATCGTTTTTTTATGAAGTTTCACTGATGTGTCAAAACTAGAGCCTAAATTAAATATAAATAGATCACCACAGTTCTATAGACTACTATATTTGATGTTTTGCTGTGGAAGTGAAGATGGTTATCACAAACTAAAGAGAAATGTATTTTTACAACGCCGAAAGCATGACATAGCAGTCATATCCGCGGATTTCACATTTGTTAAGTCGTTTTTCATTATACAGCGAGTGGTCTGTGATGGTTATCATGATATATTGTATACATGTAGGAAAAACGCTATTATYATAATCACTAGAACACTTTCTTTTATTATCAAATTTATCTCTCCAAGAGAAGATTGAGATCTTTATCATAAWCCGTGAAGACTTCAACGTATCGCTTTTTACTGACMGACAATATAGATGGCCCCTACAATGGTTCCTGTTTTATTACACAATAACAATATACATTGTTGCTCATTGTTCGCATTTGTTTTTACAGAAACAATTTACAAATATTTCGCTCTCGTTTAGCCTTTCAAGTTCAATGCTTTCAAAAAGACACTTGTCTCGCTGGTGTTTGTTTTTTGTATTATTCAAAAACTCGAGGACAAGTTTCTTCTCTCTTTCCATTTTCTATTTACACAAGGCACAGGTGGTTTTATTGAAGTTGTCGTGTCCTGTGCGTATCTTCCAATATAATTTTGAATGTCTGGAGAGGAATGAATTCCTTAAAGCTCCWCCAAGTATCTATATTACAAATATAAATCTGTCGTATCATGCTCAAATAAGTAATTGTGTGCGTTTTTTTAAGTATACATTAAAATTGAAAAACGTCTTAAGTTACCTATTTGAAGATTTTGCGTTCAAAAAATATATAATTTTATGTAAGACTAGACTTAAGCAGAATTGCAACGGCACAAGGAGGATAGTTAGGATTCTTACGCCTTACGCTTATGCATGCGTGACATAGTATGTAAACTAGAATTGTCGGATGTTTCGTTATATACAATGTAAGGGCACAAAGTTCTATATTCAAAGCCATTGCCTAAGACTAAGCAGCGGTCACGTTCAACAGTCTTAATATAATGATTCGTGATTCTACAGTAACGACAGCAGTAGGTAGTATTATAAAGAATTAATTAGTTATCTATTAATACAAACAATTTACAATACAATACAATAACAGCACTAACTGCAACAAGAACAGCAACAGCAGCAGCAACAACAACAGCAGCAACAACAACAGCAACAACAACAACAGCAACAACAACAGCAACAAAAACAACAGCAACAACAACAACAGGAACAACAACAACAACAACAACAACAACAGCAACAACAACAGCAACAAAAACAACAGCAACAACAACAACAGGAACAACAACAACAACAACAACAACAACAGCAACAACAACAGCAACAACAACAGCAGCAACAACAACAGCAGCAACAACCAAACAAAACATACTGACAAACTTGAAAACAGAAATACATGCTAAAATGTCCATGACAATCGCTTATAAGCACACGGAATCCTGCTTAATAATACAAGAACCAAAATAAACCAGTGTACACAAGAATAGCATCTTCTCAGAATTTGTAATAAAATCRTGGCTCTCACAGACCAATGAGAGTTCGTGTCGACCCTATAATTTCTCAAGAACCACTTGTGCCGATCAGAACTCAATCGCGAAATTAAGTCTTGAAATTGTCATAACAAAATACGCCACGCCTCAAAGATTTTTCCTTGGACTATATTGACGTGTCCAAATGACTGTTCCTAAGSAAAGACAGATTAAACTTCGTAGGAATTCCCTACAGTCTGTAGCTGACAGTTCATATCCTCAACAAGTCAATTCTATGCTTGCTTTCGTTGATCTTTCAGACAAAGAGATTAAASGACGTACATTATCTTAGTGAAATAAACTGCCTTCCTCGACAAGTGAAAGATTTGGTGTTGGATTTCAGCATTTTGTTTCCAGGGGTGAGTTGATAATAACAGTTTTGTGAATCCATTGTTTTRTATTATATAAATAAGGAACTTAGTAAATGTAGTATTTATCATTCTGGTGAATTAGAAAAAAAAAGGGATTTTTTACCCTAGATTGCGAATATGTTAGCATTATTTAGTTTGTGTTAGGAAGTGTTTATAGATGTAATTACWTGTCACGAAAGATAATTGTTATGACAGTATGACTTTTTATGATGTTTCCCATTCGMATTTTAATTATAAAGCTTTTTCTTTTTGTAATTTATTTTTTTGTCAATTCAATTWGTACAAGAGTGAGCGCAGTAATTAAACCCGTGAAACAAAAGTTTACTATTAAAGTGTGACAACCAAATAGACACAAAAACCCGAAATCAAAGCAACTAGAGCGTACTAAGTTTTTTACTTCACTCTAAATCCGTGAAACAAAGAGTGAAGTTATTAAACCTGTGAAATAAAGATGTTTATAGTGTAGTAAGTTGTTTTCGTGTAATACCTATGTCTTGTTTTTGTTTCTTAATCACTCTAAATCCGTGAAATAAAGAGTGAAGTTATTAAAAAGTCAAATAGACACAAAAGAAAACAATGCAATTAGAGCGTACTAAGGTGTATTAGTGTAATATCTATTTCACGGTTGTTGTTGTTGTTTTTTTACTAAATAAAACATTCATTGTCTAATGAATACTATTTAGTAGTAATAAGTGATATTTGTTTCACAGATTTAGGGCGTCAATTCCACGGYATTGCATGTAATTATATAATTTATTTATTAGTGCCCCGTTACTCAAATTTACATATAAAATCTCATACACCATAAAACTCTTATTCAATTTCAAATTCAAGTTTTTTTTTTAAACTCAACATTATATCAATTATTAATGTTTTTTCTTTATCAATTTCTTTACTTCTTATTCACCTTTCGTCAAATTAGTAATTATTTATTAATTCGCTTAAAATAAAACAACACATTTATTCATTTAATCAATTTTTGACTCCTTATTCAATTACGATTATTACTCATTTCATAATAACTCATATTTCCTTCGCATTTATATGCCCATACACTTTTATCTAGATGATCAATATCTAATGCTCTTATCCATCGATCGATTTGTCTATTTAAATCTCATTATTTCTCTCATTTATTTAATCTTTTACTTCATCCACTATTTCTAAGCATTTATTCGCTGTTTCCTAGTTTCTTGCCTCCTGATCGAGAAATCGCTTCATTTTCGAGAAATCTAGAAATCACTAGACTTTCTTCTTCATTATTTCTTCATTATTTATCTCAATCATTTAATTTTCTAATTATTCACTATATCTAAGCATTCATTCGCTGCTTCCCAGTTTCTTCTCCTGATCGAGAAACCACTAGACTTTCTTCGGTCGCTACTAATGCAATTTCGTCTTTACGACAGGGCGACGGACACTCTTGGCATATATTCTTGTGCAAACAACAATACTTTYCTTGACAGGAAGACGTGTTGTTTTAAATTGGAATTTCCCCAACTTGTGGACAAACACAGACAGAGACGTTGGTTGATGCGACTTTTCAAAGAGATTTGTATCGATTAAAGGTAAGACTTWAGTAATCCCGCTTATTTTTAGTTAGTTACAACAAGAAAAGCGATGTTTTTAGACAATTTTAATATCTTTTTTTTCACAAGATGCGTCATTTTTGAAAATTAAACCGGGTTAATGCGAGCAAATTTATTTTATGTAAGAGATTATTTATTTTAAGAATCTCACTAGTAGTTGAACTGATTCTGGTGCAAAACTGTTTTCTTTTTTACATTTCCGAACACTGACATATATAAGAAAAAGTCTCTCTTTTTTTCATTTTTTAAACTTGTTTTTGATTTAGCTTGCTTTTCGCTTGCACTATTGTTACTCAAATTACTTATAAAAGCAAAGCTCTTATTGACTTACTTCCTTAGTTTTAAGCACTTTGTTATGGCTTTTTTCGCAAGAGACTTATTTCTTAGTCACAAATTAAGTCGTTTTCTAGAGATCACTGTCTGTTTGGTCTTCTATCATCATCCCTGTAAGGCATCTTCGCCATGGCAACAACTTTATSCTTTTTAAAACTGTGTTTCTAGGCCTCTTTTGTGTGGGTACATGTAGCTCCACCGTTAAGGGGTTTTAACAAGGTCTTAAAAATAAGCGCGTTTCAATGTAATTTTGTGCTCGCTCCGCCTTAATTCCAAAAAATCATGCCGCTCTTGAATCGAGGTAAATTAAACTAATTCTTTGATGATTTGATAAAGATATGACATGTTTTTAGCATACATATTAACTCGCTATCTATACCTCCTTCTCTTGAGCCGGATTGTTTTTATATTTAATTATGTTCCATTTACAAAGTGAGAATCGCTTTCCACCGTGCGAAATAAACAGCCTGTACGATATTAAATAAKCGATTCATCTCGTCAAGGAACAAAGTTGTTTCTTTTTCTCTGTCAYTTTATTTGATTTCCTTGGCAAATGATCGTTGGATTATTATTTGATTTGTCTGGACGCATCAACAAATTGAATTATAGGAAATTCATTGTTTTTCGTTATTTGTTTCTCAAAAGGACGATCTCATGATCATCGTCTCTATAAAGCGTCTTTTGTCATAGCAACAACWTCATTCATATTTTTAAAAATGTTTATTTCTAAGACTCTTTTTCGCAGGCCACTCTGTCTGGTCTATTTTGCTCTACTATTATTAGATTTTCCTCCTCTTCGAATGATTTCGAAGTTCATTTTTGGAACTTGTCAATTAAAGTCAAAACAGACTCCTTATTTCAAACGTAATTTTCTATGACCATAGTTACTAAGTATGCTATRTCGGATATTGCTCAAACTTTAAAACTTCAGTAATTTTTTAGAGTATTCGTTTTTGCTTTTACAGTACTCGCTTTTGATTAACAGGATTTTTTTTTTCTTCCGTTCTTTCTTTCTTTCTTTCTTCCTTCCTTTTTTTTCAAATCAAAACAAATGCTGGTCTCAAATTACAGCATTTTTTACATCACTTTTTCCCTTCTCTTTCTTTTAGTTTTAATTTGGTAACTAAAGTATGAACAGTTTTTCTTCCTTCCTTCCTTTCTTTCTTTCTTTCTCCCTTTTTTCTTCTTTTTCAAACTCAAAAAAAAAGCTGTTCTCAAATTACAGCATTTTTTACTTCACTTTTTCCGTTCTTTCCTTTTTTCTCCCTTTTTTCTTTTTAATCAAATTAAACGCTGTTCTCATATTACAGCATTTTTTACTTCACTTTTTCTCTCTTCTCCTCTTTATTTTAGTTATATTTTGGTAACTTAAGTGCCTCCCAACGACGTATTTAAAAAAATGTTGTCGATAATCAACCATGTTTTAATCATCAATTATCTTCGATTGCCTTATCGCACTCTACTTAAAATTAATTTCATTGCCTATTACGTCATGCTATTGGTGAAAGCTTTTTGGATTATAAGGCCTTGTTTTAATGGTTCAAATTACTTGCTATTGAATTTATCACGAGAGGATAACCACAACAAGGCAAATATTGCAACAACAAGCCACTGAATAAAGAAAAAGTGTGGCTTTGTTTTAATTAAAGCTAAGGAAGCCCCCTAAGAGCCTTGTGATAGGAATGCAAATGCTCCCTAAACAAGCTGTTGACTGGTCGTCAATATGAATGACAGAGATATTTTTTTAGGTCTAACATCATTAAGTGTGATTTTATCGGAGTAAATTTTTCAAGGAAATAGGAAGTGGAACCGGACAATAGTACCGCAATAGATTTCTGAATTTTCGCAGCTGGTAACTTCCCTTTTTTGATTGCTAACTACGGACATTTTTAATGAGGTTCTTAGCGACCCTTTTTTTTATKTATATGTTAGATACGTATAAAACTATATAAACTGAGACACAACTTAAAGATTTTTCAAAAGACTAGAACTCGAGTTTCAGTTTGAGAGAACTAAATTTCAAAGAATGTTTTCGTGTCTCAGTATTTTTAGTTGCTTTTAAATATAGAAAACCAACCAAAGCTGATTTTAAAACACTCTTTTTACAAGGCTTAAGTGCTCAATCTCCGAGTGAATTTTAGTTGGATTATACTCTGGTTACAAGAGCTACAAACCTTTTTTATAATATTATGACATAACAAAAACTCTAAAGTCCTACATTCATCCGTGAGCCTTTGCGAGCGTTTAGTTTGAATAACAAAATTATCTTTAGTTCATTTCTGATTAGTTGAAGGCGGTCAAACAAGGCGGTGTTTCATATGTGACACCCGGTTTAAGTTTCAAAAATGACGCATCTTGCGCAAAGGTTTTTGTATGCATGTTTAAAAATTGATTTTTACGGAAACCATAAAACTTCTAACAGCGAGATGCTTGACTTCAAGACTTCTTTAGAGTCTTCTGTGTAATCTCCATTAAAAGTCAAACCCTACTGTTGAGCTTAACCGATTTACTGTCGGAAACCATAAAAACTCTAACAGCAAGATGCTTGACTTCAAGACTTCTTTAGAGTCTTCTATGTAATCTCCATTACTTAAAAAAAGTAAACCCTACTGTTGAGCTTAACCGATTTACAGTCAATCTATAAAAGAGTACATTATCTGTTAATTGAATATGTTAACTTTTACGCCGCTAAAAACATCGCTTATCATTCAAACCAAAAGTACCTACATTTCTGAAGATAAAAATATACTCTTAGAGTTCATTTCACTTGGAAAAAAAGTATATAAGTCTTGTAGAAAACGCTAATATCTATAAATTCATGAGAAAAGATTTCTTATCAGATAATTAAAGCACTATCTTATCTACTTTAATGCCTTAAGAAGTCCACTGTTTTTCTTTACCATTTGAATCGTTTCTGGCCAATGCTTGTACAATTAGAGTACCTGTTTAGTACTTTTTCCAGGAATGACTTTAAAGCTTAGCGCATTTAAAACGTAATCCACTTACGTTAAAAGCTATTAAATAGAAGGATTTCGTTTGGCTGTCATTTCTAGTTTCTCAAGCTCTCCTTTTCAATTTTGACCCGCTGTAGAAACGAAATTATTTGTCTGTTTGGTCTTGTAAGTATTCTTGGTCTATTTTTATAACTGATGCCAGGCAATCATAGAAATGCTAATATAATCCATTCATTGTTCTGAGTCTGGTTTCCTAGAAAAGCGTGCGCTTTTAAAATCATTGACCGCGGTCCAGAATTTTTAACGATCTGGCTGCTCTACGGTATTCTATACCAAATGGATTTTTAGCGGAAAAAGAGCGAAAAGACAGCAGAGTTCTTGTTGAACGCATCTTGAACATAACTCGTTTTATTGATCGGTACTTGCCCAGCCACCAAGCGTGTACAGTTACCTATCAATGCTTCATTTTACAGTTCCAAGCGCCATCTTGAAAGACAGCCGAGCCTTTACATCAAAGCGAGACAAGAATTAAGCTTGCAATAGGCTTTTTCTGAAATAGCATAACGCTTTGCATCGTGGTCTAGATTCGGTACAAACATAGATACCTGTGAATAATATTGTTCTTGGTGTGAACAAAAGGCATCTATTACTGCAGGCCCAACTACTGTCTCGCTTGATGCAAAGCCTTGGTTACCTTTCAAGATGGCGCCTGGAACTGTAAAATGGAGTATTAGGAGAAAACTTGTTGTGCGGCAAAAACGATTTAAATCATAGTAAACCTTTTCTAGAAGATCAAATTTAACTAACACAGTTGTACAACACTATCTTAAGAATGGTTGTCAGGAAGATAGGAGATAGCATTCTTAGTGACTGTCGGTATTAGTGATGGCAATGTTCCACGTCACTCGATCAACCCTACTGTTCTTATCGTTTCAAAACGCAACTTTCTTAGTAACAACAAGCTCGAAATGCAGAGTTTTCCTTAAAATAAATTACTAAATTCACATTCACTTCACCATAAATTAAGTTTACATGGATTTCGTCAATTTTTTTCAATTTTTCTATTTTCATAACAGTTCTCCTCTAATTTTAACTTTTGTCTAGTTATCATATAAAACAGGTTCCGCTCAGAGAATAACTTATACGATATTAAGATATAATTACTACAATCAGCTTTAGATAAAGTATTTAATCATGCTGAGCCTGTAAAAAAAAACACTTATTTCTCTTGAATGCATTATATTTATTCTTGATATTTCAATAGAAGCTTTTAGTATTATATATTTTAGAAAACAGTTGATAATTTTTATTTTCTTTTAAGGCGACCTGAAATTCTGTCTGCCATGTTGGAATCCAAGATGGCGCCCTAATTTAGTATTTTTTTTTAAACGAACTATCAAATTGCGTGTTGAATGCCTAAATTAATACTTACAGATTATTTTTTCATMTGTAAGCAATTTTAATTTACGTTCAGTTTGCATTAAGCTGATGAATTTTCGTTTTAATCAATTTTTTGTTCAAATTCAGCTCCGCCAAAAAAAACAACAATGAATAAATGAATAAATAATGCTAAAAAAAAATCAGAGACAGAAATTTCGGACGCTGTCTTAATAATCAAAAAACTTAAAAACAATATACATGTATATTTTGCATCGATTTCAACCGTTCAAATCATCTTTATTCCTTTCTTTTTGAAATGCTTACTTTTAATTAAGACCTTYCAAGTTTTCTTTTTCTTTTTGATATTTAAAATGCTTCGGGCGTTTTTTTCTCAATTCCTAACCTTTTCAATTCACAAATTCTAATTGAGACATCACGCCAGGGTCTTTCATTTAGTTTGATCTTTTTTATACCGCTAAAAAAGTTACATCGGCATTGGGTATTATCATGACTGGGACACAAGCTTTGTAAATGATAAGTATCCGACTGATATTTTCTTCATAACGGCTCAATCTCTTAGTCTTTTCACTCAATCAAAAGCAATTTCTTCCAGTCTGTTAAATTGCTACTAGAAAGATGAACCGCAGGGGCTAAAGTAAATACTAAAAACCTGTTATTGAAATGAGCCAGATCTTCGTTTTCGTACAGTGAAAGAGTTCATGACGTTCAAAATGTTAAAGCATGAGGGATTTTCACAGGCGTGYCCAGGCCAATGTTCGGAAATCGTTGTGTTATTCGTACGGCTTTCTTAATTGTTTTTTGATGAACTTGAAGAGTCGGTGGGCCTTCCATCTTAATCACATAAAATGTTTGTTGATATCAACATTTAATTAGCAATGATGTTTGTACGACGCTTAAGAATTCATATAAAGGTTCTCTTGCGAGAGGATATAGCACTGTTCGTGATTTGCACCACAAGTTAGGGATGCTATATATGARCGCAGGTAACCAGAGCTGGCTAAGAAAACTAGGTGAGCTTAAATAGACGAACAAGAGTTATCAATATTAAGTAATTTATGTATTCCTATGAAGGCATTCGGTTGCTCCATGTTTATYAATGTGCTCTTGTTCAATGTTTTGTGCTGAATTAGACGAAAGTTCATAAGARCACTCAKTATGCACACTCCTTTAAAAAAATCATATCAGCCCGGAAAGTACTGTCCAAGATGCGGCAAAAAGACTTATTCTTCTCGCGAGATAAGCCTTTACTTAATCTTAGTATTCTAATTAAAGTTTCTTTCGATTTACGTGTGATAAAAGTAATTCTACTCCATTCTCTAAGTAAAATATTAGTCAACCGTCTTCCTCATAAGTTGTTTAGATGTTTCTAGGCAGAAGTTAAGAAKCACAAACAATTCAAAAGCGAGTATCGTCCATTCAAAACGATTAGATTTAGCGGATCAGTCAGTTTTACATAGGATTGTTAAACACTGGTTACAATAATTCGCTGAGACATTTATCATTGTCAAGGTCTTCGCACAATTGATTCCACTAATATCCGTTCAAAATTCAGTATAAAATGAAACATTTTTCTCAAATTTAAAACTGTCAAAGTAACATTTGCTAAAGGAGAGCAGTGTTCCCATAGTAACAAGACTTTCTAGGTGTTTACTTTTTTCTTGTTCAGTAATCTTAGGCTGATTAGTGCAATAAACCGAACGAGGGGGKAGGGGTGATTRTGATTATTGTTTAAAGGCTAGGTTTGATATAGATAAAGAACGTGAAAGAAATCATGTTCGGTGTTTTGACGAATTTGATTGGGAAAAAATGTGTATTATTAAAAACATTATTTTTGAATCGGATCATTCACTTGAATATAACATGAAATGACTAGTGAGACTCCAGTAAACGTTCAGAATTTTTTTTTTCTTTTCCGAATTTAATTTTAAGGGTTTTGTGACACCAATTCACATTCATCGCACTTCTCTTTGTCTCAAAGTTATAAATATTTTTGTTTAAGATTTAACGAAAACTTTAAAATTTGAGGCATTGTCTCCATGTTATGAGACAACGAAACGATCAGACATCAGTTTGCTAACTGCTAGAGCAAACGCAAAGGAAAACCATGAAATAAAATCAAACTAAATACTAACAAATAGCGGCTATTTAGAGACAAATTGTCAGTATTAATGAACCAGAACGTAATAAAGATAAATGAAAAATGGTCCCATGTGGATTCATCTTTATTGTGTTCTGTTTCATTGATACTGACAAACTGTCTCTAAATAGCCGCTATTAGTTAGTATTTAGGTTGATTTTATTTCATGGTTTTCCTGCGTTTGCTCTATGTTTCAGTTCAGATTTTTCAAGTTCAAGTTTTAGAAGGGCTGTACCTCTAAATAAATTTTTATCACTATCATCATTGTTCCCACAAGGTATATTACTGGCCTATGGAGAAAGCCTTGTATATCAACCAGTTTTGTCCATCATAACTTTCCGGGCTTGTAGTGTGTGGATCCCTAGTACTGATTTTCKCTCAACATGTATCCATACTTTCCTTGATGTTTTCAACATCAAACAGTACTTGTTTTCATAATGCACAGTTCTCCAGCCTGCATGACATGTCCCAAATAATTAAGTTGCTGTCGATGGTAGAAATTCCTGATTGGTAATGAGTTTGTTATTCCCCTTTTCTGGTGCATTTTAATTTTACCATGATTTCAGSCTGCAACGATTTAAAATTCAAGAGTTTCTTGGCATAGGAATAAGAAATTTTAGCAAAAACTTGAACAGGGAGGCATTATCAAAGATGAGTCATGGCTCAAACCAAATATTATCCTATGTTATGAATTCAAGGTGTCTATCGCTCCTCTCATTAGATGTCGGTGTTTACTTAAGCTCTAAGGCTGATCAGGTCTTTTGATGAGTATATATTTGCTTGACAATGCCATCGTCTAATCCAACTTTTTCTCAATCTCCAGGAAACGAGACATGCAGTTTGATAATACAAGTAACACTTGACGTGAATTAAAGCCRGAACAAAAGCACTTTTAGGAGAAAGAAAAGGCAAACATTCCTGAGTTGGTGGAAGCCAAAAGACCTCTCTATTACCTGGCTCTGTATACACAAGACAAGGAGCTCTTATTGCTTGTCATCCTAAAGCAGACGCTAAAATACTTGACATCAGAATAAAATTTCATCGAGGAGCTTTTCAGCTAACACAAGATTGAAGACGTTAGAATTTCAGAAAGAAACTTCGGTGCTGATTTGATCGAATTTCTACTTGTGAAGTTATCGAGAAAACGGCCACGCTTGCAACATGAGCAATTTATCGAATAATTCGTCTCCGTTTCCTTCCAAGGAGAAGGTGTGTGGAATTCCAGTTCAAGGAACGTTTGTTTACCTCTTGGTTYTATTGATATTTGTCATGATCGTGACTTTTGCTGGTAATCTATTAGTGATCTTTGCAGTCCTGTTCTTCCGTCGTCTCCGTTCAATTACAAACTACTTCATTTTCTCATTAGCAGTAAGTGATYTTCTGATATCCCTGCTATCGTTACCGTTCAGGATAGACCAGAACATCCACAATGGTCACTGGTGTCTGAGCCTGGTGGCTTGCCAAACATGGATCATCKTCGATTCMGTWTGTACCTTTGCATCCATGTGGAACTTAGCAATAATCTCGATAGATCGATTTGTAGCYATAAAACTTCCATTCCAATATCATTCTCTTATAACGATCAAAACATGYGTARTCATGATAASTTGTGTGTGGACGTACTCAGGCATTCTGACCATGTTGATRTTGACAGATAACTGGACTTGGCCAGGTMTTCCCAGGTTTGGCATCATTCGCGAATGTTCCTTCCGAGATCCTTATTATTCTACAGTTGCTGTGTCATTATCATTTTTCACACCTTTGCTCATAGTGCTTGTGATGTATGGAATGGTCTTCGAAGTAGCGCTAAACCAGACGAGGGCCATGGCAGCGTTGCAGATAGACCTCGGAGGAGGACGAGGCGGGCGAAGAAGCTCAGTGAATTTAATACGCGAGGTGAAAGCTGCCAAAACTCTCGCCATAGTTGTGGGTTGTTTTATAGTTTGTTGGCTCCCGTTTAATGTAATATTCCTCATTATACTTTGGAATCCAAATTTAATCTTAAGTTTGAGCCTTGGTACGCGTCTGGGCTTAAGCTTGACGTTCATCTACGTTCTGCCGGCTCTCAACTCTACTATGAATCCAGTAATCTATGCACTTTTCAATCGTGAATTTCGCTCTGCTTTTCTGAGGCTATTCCGACGAATCGCGGGGAATAGAATGGGGGCCGTTGGATATGGTGGAACTTTGGATCATTCTTCGGCAATAAGTACAATACGAGACGAAGCTATCACGCGCCCATCTAAAARCATAAAATTTCAAGAATATGACGGTGAAYATCCAAATAATTCGCCGCTTCCCAYAATTCGACAACACGGCCTTCATTCATACGGCAACGATGCATACACCGATCACACAAATGACGATAACTTGAACGTGAAAAAYGACACTTATTCGATGGAGACAACATTAGAAGACGACAAAAAGACAAAAGTAGAGGACACTCCYGCRAYTACGCATAACAGTCATGTGACTGATGACATCACGCAGAATRAYATYTCCCAGAACAACTGTGACGTCATAGATGACGACATTCCTGGGACGCCAAARAAGGCTATGTCTGTAAAATTGCCGCCATTGCAAAGAAACGTTTCGTTGTCAGGGGAAGAAGAGAGCTATTGTGTTCAAAGAGTAAAATCCAATATATTACCGCCCATTGGACCTCCTCGCTTGATTATAGATAGCGTGCAYGATGAGGAGGATGCCAAGGGGGAAGTTCACAATACGGCTTTGTGAAACGAGATCTACGTAATAAGGRGAATCTTATGAAAGGTTATATATATAGACATAATAGGAACAAGAGATGTATTGAAATGTTTTGGRAATGCTTTTGATAATTTGCCAATAATTATACCACTGCATAATCCAATACACATTCATTTCAATTCGCTWTTTTTCCGACGAAAACAACGACGTCACCAGTCTAATCTCGCAGCCGTTATGATGGTCGTTCCCAAGTTTCTCCCTCTGATAACGAGACTCATAACGGATGCGAGAAGAGACTAAGACTACAACAACAAACAGGCAGACGTCTTCACAGTTTAGGCCAGTCTGCGATACATTGTACTCCTCCTAAAATTTCTCTCATCGCTTCACAATTCCTATCCTATATTGACGCCGATTGCTTATTTAAACGCTTTAGGGAAATATCGCTTAATGTATCATACATTATAATAATAATAACTCTCGCTTATTTTTAGAGGGTACGTATCACGACTCCGCACATAATAGGATGTAAGAGTAAGCTTTGGGAGGGGAATACCTTCCATGCTTTGGGCTTTGGGTTAACTTATAAGTGAGCAAGAGATTTGATATATGTATTTAAATTATTTGAATTAAGTAATGTTATATTTAAATCGTGCACAATATAGATGCAGTTGTGTAAAACTCGCCTGCGGCTCGAATCTATATATCCCGATAAAACACGCGCTCCGACGAAGGATTAACGTCCGAGACGTCAGTAAGTTGTTTCACCTACTTTTTTACGGTGTTAATTTTAACTTTTTACACAACTGTTTCTTTAGAAACACCGACGCAGCTCACACTAGTTTACCGCTAGTTTCCACCAAATTATAGATGAATTATTCTATTTTTTTTCACAAAAGTTTCAATTTGGGTCCACTTGCAGCCGAACACCTGCGCGATCATTTGTTCTGTTTTGAAAAGATCTCTTACTGAAAGTTACTTTTTGATTTATTTCAAAAATAAAAAATAAAATAAAAAATCAGCGAAAAAGTTAAAGCTGGACATTTAAACTAAAACGATCCATACATTCTCCGTCGACTTTCAGTTTGTTTTACAATGGCGCAAAGGATTTCGTATGTTGGTGGCCCTTCGAGCCACAAAAGCAGAAACGATAAGTTTTAGTCGAGTGTTTTGGGTACTATCGAAGAATTTTTCATTTTTCTGACACACATGTGACCTTTCATGGGTAAGCATTATGAAACTATATGTTAGACAGACTTTATAGCTGGAAATAAAATGGCATACAAAGATATTCTATTGTTGTATAAATTTAGTGACCTCATCGGCTATCTATGTATACTTGAGGGGTGCCAGAGGTAGGTTCTTTCTTCAACATCTAATGTTGAAATGTTGGTACGTAAGTGTGTATATAGCTATGCGAAGGAACTGGAACTGGGAGCGACAGAGAAGAAAGTCGGCTTTTAATTGCTCTGCAATYATCATCTGGACAGACAGCTCAACAATTAAAGAAATGGCGGCTATCTTTTAAGTATATGAGTTATTTAAGCCGGGAAAACTTACTAGTTTTCACTAAGTGACTTATGTACAAATCCCTTAATCGTAATAAAAAACTATTTCACTATTTCCTCATGCTTTAATTCAGTTTTTTTTTCCTAGTTCAAAAAAAAGTGAAAACGATTTTTTCCAAAATCTTCCCATCGTTTACGGTGAAACTTTTCGTTTTCGAGAAATTATTTTCAATCATAAGATAGCACTAATCGTCGCACACAATTTTACCAATTTTTGATGAACTGTCTGACGTTTTTCCGGTAAAAGTACGTAAGCGGCTGACATTGTTTACGTAAAGCTCAATTACGTATGAGTTAAGTAAACAACTAATAGCACGTATCATGATCCATTGACATGGTCCACACGAACCKCAAGGATAATTTTTTCCTGAATAAATTTAGTCGAGACTATAATCTGCCTTATTGTAATTCTGACGGCACTTGTTATGAAGTCAGTTTCAATTTTGCAACCTTTGGTTTATACTTTGTCTAAGAAATCAGTTTATAATAATAGTGCTGTAGAAAATGGAGCCAAAAATCACTTATGAGATTCATAGTCAATAGCCTCCTTCACGGTTACCTGCGCCATCTTGAAAGGTAGCCGTACCTTTGCATCGAAGCGAGACAACCGTTGAGCGTGCAATGATAGAAACCTTCTTTCACACCTACAGACAATTATTCACAGGTATCTATCATTGCACGCTCAACGGTTGTCTCGCTTCGACGTAGAATTTGCGAGTACCCCCCGGAAACGAATCTCATTCTCAGGCTATGTGAATCTCAGGCTGCGAATCTCATGCTAGCTTCACTTTGGTGCGCACCTAACCGTGAAGGGGACTATTCAACTTTATAATTGCTAATACAGAAAAGGCACAAAACATGAGAAATATCAAAAGCTTTTACTGCTTAAAGCTAGCGAACTGCAATTTTTTTCGATGTAGGAGCCTCTATTTTAAACCTAATAGAACTTTAAGAAGTTGTACTGGGCCGCTGCAGAAATAAGATTATGATACTTACTAGAATTTCAAGTTAAATTTCAAAAACACGTCTTAAAACAAAATTCCAGTGAAACCTAAGCTGTCTGCGATAGTGACACAAGTGGTGTGGAAACCGAACGGAGACAAATGACCGCTGCGCATGCTCACAAGTGAACGCATAGAGAGCCCAAGCAATGGCTTTGAATCTATAATAGTTAAAAATAAACTTTTACTTCAAAAAATGGTCTACTTTTATTTTATTCATTATCACAATGCATTATAAATGGGTTTAAAAAAATTTCCCCTCCMTATATATAGAAGAAGGCCGAAGTGCCGAAACGTTCTAATAAAGAGTAGAAATACTAGTTGCAAGTTGTGTGCCTTTTTCTTCAATTTATTCAATATATAGTGACTGCGATGAACGGCCATATGTTGTACACAAAGGAATTTTTGAGAATGCAAAACTAAGAAAATATTTAAAAAAAAACACTTTATGTTTATATATGATTTAGATATAGCCTGAAAACTTGAATCAATAATTGAATCAATAAGAATTGTTCTTGAGTCTCCACAGTTCATGCTCAGTTGTATCGAATGTCATTTGAAGAAAACAGTAATAAATTTATCGTTAATAAGAATATCGCTTAAAACTCAAAGCAATAAAAAATGAACTGAGAATACTTTGAGGACACGTTGAAGATTCCATACATTAAAACAATGCAGGTAAATTTGGAGAAAAAATGGGAAAAGCTGATRAATATCCTCGCGCTTGCTCAGTCRTTTAATTTGATCGTGGTACTRTGACTCAGAAAGACGACGGATCCCGGAGATCTCCGTGAGTGATTTCGACTGATTCATCGTTCGATTTTTTATTACCTTTCAATCATTACAAGCTCTGTTATCTTCCAACGCGCAAAAAGAAAAGGTTAATTAGGTAAAGCGCAAAACTTTGGCAGAATGGCAGAATCTCCAAATGACAGTTTCATATCATTGTGYTATTTGGTTATGATTCATACTAGTAACAATTCAAGTGGATTTTATATCTTGTGTCAATGTTACTAAAATATAATTGGTTTCTCTGAGAACATGGCGTAGTTAAATTAGTCCTGGTCTCACGTAGTCCCCTTGTATATGACTAAAGTGTCGCTTYCCGCACGTGCRCGTACCATTAACCGTCGAAAGTAACGTCCGTTATGGCTCTAATTTTCCGTCGTATGCGCACGTGAAAAAATAGAAAGATTAACAACGAGGATTTTCATTCAAACAGTTGCTAATAGTCAGTGCTTTTTTTCTAATTCATCATATATTCCAAGAAAAGAAAGCAATTTTTATGAACTTACATGTACAAATCTTTTAACCGTAATAAAAAAAACTATTTCACTATTTCTTCTTGCTTTAATTCAGTTTTTTTCTAGCGCAAAATAAAAGTTGAAAACGATTTTTTCACCAATGAATTCTTCCTAATTTTTGTGGGTTTTTGGTTTGCCCCTAGTATCTTTTTAAGTTAGATGACTATGGGTAGATCATTTGATAATCCAAAAAGGGAAAAAAAATTACGCGCAAGCCTATATCCGAAGATAATCCTACAAAACAAATATGTACTAAAAAAAACGTGCAAGGACATCCTAAACGATTAATATACCATACACGGAAAAGACAAAACCTCGAAGAAYGATACCTCAGGTCTGCCCCTAAGTAACTCAGTATTTTTACAGTCCAGTGGGCTTATCGACCAGTACTAACCAAACAGTCACTTCCTTTTCGCAGGCGWTGGAAAATTGTTCAAAACAAAAGTTTCGAGTAGGCGGGAAAAGTAAAGTGACGAAGTGAGCAGCGGTTTACGATATTATCGTTTACAAAGCAACCGACATCATCACAATAAACCAAAACACGGACATTAATTGGTCGAATGAATGGCATGAAGTCGTTACTATATTTACATTTGAAGATATAAATCGGAAAAGCTAAACGGATGTTCAAGCAGAAGCCATTCCTCGACGTCTGGGGCTTCGGGAAAACTTACAATTCATTCGCTGTGGCAATCTCCGAAATCATAGCTATACAGTTTATGTAAAAAAAAAAGGTATGTGTTTATAGATTAATATTTACCAAATGACCGACACGTGTTTGTTACGCCCTCCTCGATGAGAATTCGATTTTTTTTGCGGGGTAAACTTTAACTTGAGACAGCACGGCTCGTAGGAGTTCAAGTTYTTTCTCTAGTGTTATATGTTTTAAAGAGAGAAACAGCGGTTTGAGACAACACTCAATGCAAAAATGTCTCAAATAATATGCTCATTCCTCATAAGGGAGAAATATAGCAGCTATACTAATATCGCCGACATCAACCATGATGATATACCGATTAACGCCTAAAGAATAACAATTAAGCACTGGAATGACAATTTTAGCATTGCCCCTGGAATAAACCTATCAAAAAATCAGAAAGCATTTTCATTTTGAATGCTCTTATCATGATATAATCATGTTGCGTCTGATCATATTCACTTTTTTCGGTGTAGTTAATGCACATGAATGCTACGTTATTTCTTCTGGCTACTATAATAATCTTCCTTTCAGACACGTTGGCGGCCTATTCGATTTAAAATACAGACTTTGTGATTGATTTTAAATACATATTTTTTATGGAAACCCAGCGTGCATTYTGACTCTTATTAAGGAACTCCTTCAGTTATATATTGGGTAATTGCAAAAATCGCCAGCCAAATGGATTGAGATAGATCATCATGCATTACAGCCCATTTGATTCGTGTACCTATTCTTTGTAAGTACAAAGCAATGATTCATCTTTTAAAATTCATTTCTATTGAAAATGGAGTCATGTTTCTTGTACCTAAAGTTTGTAAGTCAAATCAATCATTTAGTACTTATTTCAATTGAAAATGGCCGAGTCTTGTTTCGTGTAAGTGAAAAGCAATGTTTCATCTGTTAATATTCACTTTCAATTGAAAATGGAGTCTTGTTGATCATCACTAGAATGCAGCATTTGAAAACCACAAATACGGCATGGCAATCAAGGTAGATTTGAACATTAAGTAGTTTATGTTTCGTGTGATGATTTCTGCTGTGTTTTGGATTTAGTATAATATATTTGTTCCTAAAAAACCAAAGACGATCCGCGCAACGAAGTTACTATTCTTAACATTTTAAAATTCACAGGAAAACGTTGATATCGAGCCTTTTATCTTATTTTACTTTTATTTTAAACTTTTGGGAAAGCTGGGATATATTTTAATATATATTTTAAAAAAGACGATTTCTGCTGTGTTGTGGACACTCTATTACTATATGCGTCTATTACTATTTTTAACATTTAAATTCACAGAAAAAAAGTCAAAAGTCATAAAAATCCTTCCCTTTTTTCTGAAATATTGGGAAACGAAATATCAAAAGACAAAAAGAAAGGAATAAGCTTACCTTGGAAAGCAGTAGCCGGCATATATTTATAGACGAAAGAAGTGATCTACTTTCAAGTTTAAATAAATGCCTCCCTAATGGCATAGCGCTTTGTACGAAAACGCCAATATTTTGGTTCACAAATACAAGGTTAAAAAAGTCTTTTAGTGGATCATATTAGATTGCAATATGGTATTGGAATATTTGTAGGATAACGATATTATCATCATAGGAATAGAATACATAGATTGTATCATCTTTACTCCGACGAAGGATTAACATCCGAAACGTCAGTAAGTTTTTCCACATACTTTTTTACGGTGTTAAATTTATCTTTTTACATAACTGTTTCTTTAGAAACACCGACGCAGCTCACACTAGTTTACCGCTAGTTCCCACGATTATATAGATTGAGCTGGTTCACAAATACAAGGTTTATAAAAGTCTTTTGGTGGACCATTTTACTGAGACTGCAATATGGTCGGAATATTCGTGAGATAACGATATTATCATCACATGAATAGAATACATAGATTAAATAGATTGCAGCCGTATATAAATCGGTTTTTTTTTAGTATAATAGCTTGATCCGACAATATCCACCCATGTTGACACAGTACAAGGAAGAGGATGAAAGTTATCAAAGTAGTTATTCACTTCTCGTGATTGGTTATGAGGAATCACTTAGCAGTTAGTCGGTAGGTTTTATTGTTAACTGGAATTAAGCCTGTTCTCTTTCCGTACAGCTGAACAAGCAAGTCTAATTCCGTAGCCCCCTCTCGGTAAGGACACATCTACAAAGAGAAAACCAACGTGCATGCCTCTTCACTGCGAACAGAACCAGAAAATCTAATTCCGTAGTCCCCTCTCAGTACGGTCGCATATATAGAGAAAACGAACGTGCAAGCCTCTTCACTGCGAACAGAACCAGGAAATCTAATTCCGTAGTCCCCTCTCAGTACGGTCGCATATATAGAGAAAACGAACGTGCAAGCCTCTTCACTGCCGGAAGAAAACAAGTAAATTTAAATCACACCACACCTACATTATCTCTAAATCAGTAGCCCCCTCTCAGTATAAGGACACATCTACAGATAACTAAAAGATTATGAGCCGTCATTACTTTGACCATTAGTTTCTCAGTGCTACAATATCGTGCCATATATACAAAATGAAGTGTATATTTTCAATTTGAAAACCCTTTTTTTTTTTGTTTTTGGAAACCTCTTTTAAATATTATATCATTTTCGACGAGGCAACATCCTGTCCATTTCACAGTAATTATGGATTTTAGAAAGCAGGAAAATAGTTAAATTTACGCCACAGGGAANATTTTCAGATACCACGTTTTGTAAACTTATAAGTCCCTTGAGCAGTAAAGAAAACATTACAGCCGACCTCGGTAATACGAACCTACCATTGCAATACGGACACATTTTCAGATACCACGTTTTGTAAACTTATAAGTCCCTTGAGCAGTAAAGAAAACATTACAGCCGACCTCGGTAATACGAACCTACCATTGCAATACGGACACATTTTCAGATACCACGTTTTGTAAACTTATAAGTCCCTTGAGCAGTAAAGAAAACATTACAGCCGACCTCGGTAATACGAACCTACCATTGCAATACGGACACATTTTCAGATACCACGTTTTGTAAACTTATAAGTCCCTTGAGCAGTAAAGAAAACATTACAGCCGACCTCGGTAATACGAACCTACCATTGCAATACGGACACATTTTCAGATACCACGTTTTGTAAACTTATAAGTCCCTTGAGCAGTAAAGAAAACATTACAGCCGACCTCGGTAATACGAACCTACCATTGCAATACGGACACATTTTCAGATACCACGTTTTGTAAACTTATAAGTCCCTTGAGCAGTAAAGAAAACATTACAGCCGACCTCGGTAATACGAACCTACCATTGCAATACGGACACATTTTCAGATACCACGTTTTGTAAACTTATAAGTCCCTTGAGCAGTAAAGAAAACATTACAGCCGACCTCGGTAATACGAACCTACCATTGCAATACGGACACATTTTCAGATACCACGTTTTGTAAACTTATAAGTCCCTTGAGCAGTAAAGAAAACATTACAGCCGACCTCGGTAATACGAACCTACCATTGCAATACGGACACATTTTCAGATACCACGTTTTGTAAACTTATAAGTCCCTTGAGCAGTAAAGAAAACATTACAGCCGACCTCGGTAATACGAACCTACCATTGCAATACGGACACATTTTCAGATACCACGTTTTGTAAACTTATAAGTCCCTTGAGCAGTAAAGAAAACATTACAGCCGACCTCGGTAATACGAACCTACCATTGCAATACGGACACATTTTCAGATACCACGTTTTGTAAACTTATAAGTCCCTTGAGCAGTAAAGAAAACATTACAGCCGACCTCGGTAATACGAACCTACCATTGCAATACGGACACATTTTCAGATACCACGTTTTGTAAACTTATAAGTCCCTTGAGCAGTAAAGAAAACATTACAGCCGACCTCGGTAATACGAACCTACCATTGCAATACGGACACATTTTCAGATACCACGTTTTGTAAACTTATAAGTCCCTTGAGCAGTAAAGAAAACATTACAGCCGACCTCGGTAATACGAACCTACCATTGCAATACGGACACATTTTCAGATACCACGTTTTGTAAACTTATAAGTCCCTTGAGCAGTAAAGAAAACATTACAGCCGACCTCGGTAATACGAACCTACCATTGCAATACGGACACATTTTCAGATACCACGTTTTGTAAACTTATAAGTCCCTTGAGCAGTAAAGAAAACATTACAGCCGACCTCGGTAATGCGAACCTACCATTGCAATACGGACACATTTTCAGATACAACGTTTTGTAAACTTATAAGTCCCTTGAGCAGTAAAGAAAACATTACAGCCGACCTCGGTAATACGAACCTACCATTGCAATACGGACACATTTTCAGATACCACGTTTTGTAAACTTATAAGTCCCTTGAGCAGTAAAGAAAACATTACAGCCGACCTCGGTAATACGAACCTACCATTGCAATACGGACACATTTTCAGATACCACGTTTTGTAAACTTATAAGTCCCTTGAGCAGTAAAGAAAACATTACAGCCGACCTCGGTAATACGAACCTACCATTGCAATCCGGACACATTTTCAGACAGCACGTTTTGTAAACTTATATAAGTTTCCTGAGTAGTAGTAAGGAAAAATAAAGCCGAACTCGGTTCTGAGGGACCTACCACTGGATGCCGGACACATTTTCAGACACCCCGTCTTGAATACTTATTAACTAAAAACCCAGGCACATCACAACATTAAGAAAATTGAAAAGACACAGTATGATTCGTGAAAAAAGATCCGAAAACAATATAACTTCTAAAAGTCCCTAATAGTCAAATCCTTGTTTTCAATATCCGTTTCGTCAAGGCTAATAGAGGTRAATTAAACTGCCGCTCTAATTTGTAAAAGTTTGCATTACAAAGTCAAGGTAGCGCAGCGAAAGTCAATTAGGTCTGTGCATTAGCACATGAATTTACTCTTTTGTTTTTATTCATGGCKATATTCCGCTCAGTTGGATTTGTTAGCTTAGCTGCTGCTTCTGACGTAATCTATATTTCCGYGTCTCCAGAGAAATKGCAAAAGCCCCGACTTCATTACTAAAATAAACTGCCCTATCCCGAATATTCTCGCATTTTGTTTTTATAATAGTTCCCTTTTGTTTATTTTCTTTGTRAAGTCCATTCAGTGCCCGTGTGACTGTCAAACGTCACGTGATTCTAAGAGGGTTAATCTTTACATATCGACTTACTTACGTCACATGAAGTGTCTTATAAATTCCCCTCTCGTTGTGGTTTAAGACATTGTGGATAACAAGTTTGCTGTTTTGTTGCYGTCTTGGTGATAGTYGCTATTGATATATCTATTGAACGTGAACCTCGGATAGTCATTGTATTAATTGCTATTGAGGTGAGTACAARATTCGATCAACTACTTTGAAATTTTGTGATGCTTTTGAATTATTCTCTATAAATATGGTAAAATTACCGGTTCCAACGCGTAAACTAGGACGTTCTATAATGTATTTATTCGCTTAAAAGTATATAAGTTCTATGGGATAGAGTCACTGCGTCAAGTTGAACGCGTAGTCGATTTTCATGCAGTTTGCACTTTAGTTTACAGTCGATTAATCGATCCCGTGATCATTGTAATTAAGGAAGAGGAATGGTTTTAAACTCGAGAGAGTCATCCCATGTAGAGATAAAYATATCACGAGGGAAAGATGCTAGCTTACCCGGGTTATAATACACAAATGAGATTTCGCAATATTATTGGACTGACATTTCGTAAATGAATCGGTCAGTTTTCCTTATTGGTTTATTATTAAAAAGTTAATTATTATAAGACTTTTCTCTTGTTCATATTCTTAATTGCTCTTTCATGGTCTTTAAATTATTGAAAAAAAATCACGAACGGAAGGGACAAAAAATCTCCAAAAAGACAAGCCGCAGATTATCTGTTAGGCTTAGAATATAGATAATCAATGCGCGAAATATTTTCTTTCAGCTTCGTTTGTTTTCTTTAATTTGTTTACTAGGAATTTGGCCAGTCTGCGTCAATCCAAGACGCTATAAATTAAATATAAAACCACGGGTCATTTAACTCAATCAGCGCTTAGCAACTTTTCATTTAACGTTCGCGCGGTTGAAAAGTATTTTACAACGTGTGTTATAAGAAATCTTGGTTTTCAAAGGCTCCAATCATTGTAGGCGTTGCTTGAAGCTTGGGATAATTATTGGGGTTATCGAAAAGGTTATATTTTACTGTTTGAATGTATTATATATCGAGTTTCATAGCAATAGTGGTTATATTGTTGATTGTCTCTATTCTCGGCYAGTATTTACGTTTGATAATGTGTCCTTTCACATCGAATACGCACATCTTTCGATGTTAATTTAAGCTGGAATGGGTTAAAGCCGATAACAGCGCGACAAGACTGTCCAACAATTTTTTAGAGAGTTAAATATTATCTCATTCTCAAGATACACAACTTTCTCATTCAAATGACTTTGAGATTTAATTAGCTTTTTTGGGAGCGTTTTGAATAGACTCGCTCAGCAAGTGTCTTTTAAGGTATGTGTTAAAATACATAATTGAATTTAGTTATATTTCCAAAAGGAAGGTATCTTTTAGTTGAACAATTCTATCTTTGTCTCCATTTATTCAATTATTGAAAAGGTCTGTCAAACATGAAAACTGAACAGGAAAAAATGATCGATTCAGACAAGTGTTTGACAGAATATCAGAAAACAAGCCAAACAGACTGAGACTACGAGAGCTTTAGGGTCTATTCCTAWGGTGCGTATCACAGGATTCACAAGCAGGATGCAATCGTACGTATAGGTTATTTAATCGAGCTCTAAACTCCTTTGAAATTCCACTAATACTTCCAGATTAAAATGTGTTATTTCCATGGGATAGAAGAGCGATAGTTTGACTATATAATAGTTTCTTGTTTACATAATTAACTGTGCCGTTTATTGCCTAATAKATCGTTCTTTTAGAGTTATAACAGCTTGCTGTGTTGAGGAATCGTTTCTTGTAAATAGCTTTTCTTTCCTTGCTCTGAAATCTCATATGTGCTGAAGTCAGTGTCGATTTTCCTCTGTCTGATCATCCATTAGATACCCTTTGCACTGACTTAGATACATGTGATTTCAGTAACATGTTAAGCCATATTTTTATGTTTAAGCATAAGTACAAAGAGTACAACGACCGAAGTTTTAMAGATTTTAAGTCATAATACAACGACATATGGAAACAAAAGCAATTTTAAGCCAGGACCAGCCAAGGAAAAGCAAACCAGACATAAAAATAAATAAAAGAAAAACGCTGGCAATTTGGCTTCTAAATTTTCACTGAAAAGTTCTATTTTTACAGTATGATTTTGTCGTAGTAACAGTCAAGATTGGCAAATGAAAGTTAATTTTAGATATTYCGTCTTTGCGAAAATATGATAAACATAAACATATCAAATACGAACTTTGATGCTCATGTGATCGATGACCCTAAAACAAGTTAATTATAGTGATAACTCAGCAACTTTCTTTCTTGGAAATTCTATTCTTATGCGTTTTTTCAATTTTGTTAATAATAAACGCAGAACAACGCAAATGTGCAACGTAAACGCATCAATGTGGAAGGGGCCTCTTGTGTTTTTATAACGTATGTCCGAAAAGAAATCGCAACGATGTGAACGTACCCTCATGCGTTTTCCAAACTTATTTTTATTTTTATACGTCCTCGAGGAAATCAGAATGATACCAAACGCGGACAAACAAAACGCATCAACACAACGTAGACTCGTGCGTTTCCATAACGCATTTTACAAATTACTCTGCGTCTTCATAGAAACAGTGCTTAAAAAACGCATTAATGTTGGAAGAGACGTAATGCGTTTTCGCAGTTCGAATGAGTTTACGTTGTCCTGTGTTCTCAGCTCTCAACAAGGGGATTAGAATACAAAAGGAAAAAAAAAACGATGAAAGCCTAAGTGCTCTTAATGCCCCTAAAAGTTTCCTATTTGCTCTCAAATCTGATACTTAGTACCGACGAAACTAATATACGTTTGCTTGGGATGACTTACATCTAAATATATTGTCWAATCAGGGACCAAATCTTAATCAAAACGTCAAAAAATTGCTTTTAACAAACACGGTTCGTCACTAATGAAATGGAGTTGGTTGTATATAAGCTGACAATTACAAGTACTATTTCAAACGGACAGKTCCTTATCACGAGATGGGAAAGATTGCACCTGATCGGTGCTCTTGGCAAAGAATAATATTTTTATCAATATGGTAGAGCCGATTATAACCGAACTGATACCTCTAGAATCAGGGGTTTCCTTTTTCYTTTCTCTCAGTCTCTTTTTCTCTTTCTTTTTATTTATTTTTTGTTTGACTTTCATACACATATTTTTTTCTTTCGATGCATTCTTTTTTTTTTCTTCACTTGTGGCCATTTATTAAGTGTCTTTTTCTTATCTTTCTGTATCTCTCTCATTATTTTCCCAGTCTCTCAATTTCCTTTCACTCGAATTTCTTTATTTCCTCTTCACAGCGCTCAACGCATGATAACGACAGAAATGACTTTTTTTAAACTCGGATTACACTCTAAATTAAAAAAAAAAACTGAATATCGACTTACAAAAATCTCTATCCTTTACATATTTACGATAACATGTGATTTACATCCGCCTATTTATGAAAATCTTAAATTATCAWGATCTGATTTGCATTGGATTATCGAAAATCCTTGTAACTATCAGTGTGTCAGCTTTACTTCAAAGCATTCAGCTTGTAGCAGATTCTCTACTCGGCTCCCACCAGCTCATTACCATCCTTTATTTACTTTTCTAGCAAACAAACGAGGTTTGTGAGTGGTTTGTTTATTCTAAAATACAATAGCAGAAACTAATCCGGCTTTTTTTGGACTTTCAGAGAGCGAAGACCAAAGTCTCTCAACGATTTCGCGTTCAAGGAATTTTAGTTGAGCAAAGAAGCACTGCAAAGCAACAGCTGCAAACTCAAAAGGCCATTCCTGGAGTGCTGGACTCCGAGTCATTCCTATCTGATTTGTGTACCCAGATACAAAGAACACTTAGTTATTGTCATCAACTTGGAGACCTTTTACTCAAAATATTTGACAAGAAAACATCAGCATAATAAGAAAGATACACGGCTGTCATTATGAAACGCCTACTGTAATCACGTCAAACTTTTGCAGACACTTTAATTAGAGAAAGATCTCGGAGACGGATTACGACTGAGTCGTAGCTTGAATATTTGAACTATCAAAGTGAGCTTGGACGCGAATTACAAACATGTCGAATAATTCCACTACACATTCCATTYCACGATGTAATGCCGCGCTTGAAGGTCCGTTCGCAGGAATGGCCGTTTTCTTGATATTCATTCTCATCGTGACCTTCATTGGAAATCTCTTGGTCATCCTGGCAGTGATCTTTTTCCGTCGTCTTCGTTCCACTACAAACTACTTCATAGTTTCTTTAGCAGTGAGTGACTTGCTCATAGCCTTGCTCTCGTTACCTTTCAGGTTAGATCAAAACTTACACAATGGATACTGGTGCCTACCGCTGGAACTTTGTCAGTTGTGGTTTGTTGTGGATGCGATTTGTACTTTTGCCTCAATGTGGAATCTGGTCATAATTTCAATTGATCGCTTTATAGTTATTACTAAYCCTTATAAATACTATTCTGTGATGACGAATAAGGTCGGATATGGACTTATATCATCTGTCTGGACATTTTCTATATTTCTGGCGTTAATGATGTTAATCAACTGGAGTGGCAAAGAGCCAAACTTCAACATCACATATGAATGTAATAAAGATGATCGTATCTATTTCACAGTGGCTGCGTCACTAGCGTTTTTCTTGCCTCTGCTCATCATAATTGTCATGTACGGAAAAGTATTTCAGGTAGCTTTCAATCAGATGAAGTCTCTGGCATCATTACAGGTGGATGATGGGAACAGAACGCGAAACGGAGGCCGTAAAAAGTCAATCAACTTGATTCGAGAGATGAAAGCTGCCAGGACGTTAGCAGTAGTCGTGGGTTGCTATATATTCTGCTGGTTTCCATTTAACGTTATATTACTCATTTCTTTTTGGAACGCGTCATTAGTTGATGTTAACACAATAGGAGTGCAAGCCAACAGAGCGATAAGCTTCACTTTTATATATGTCCTACCAGTTTTGAATTCCACAATGAATCCAATCATCTACGGCTTGTTGAATCGTGAATTTCGGTCCGCGTTTAAAAATCTTGGTCGCCGAATGACGGGGAGGAGATTGGGAGCCGTAGGCGGTGACAAGATGCTTGAGACGACCACTACACGTTCCTGTAGCATACTGAACGATCACACCATAGATCCGTATGGAGTACGGTTTAGCGATCAAGACAGTGTCAGTTCGGCCCATCAACTCCCCATTGTGAATTCATCTCTCAGTGAACAACGAAATGAACAACTGAATACTGGAAATAACAATTTGGAAACCAGTCACGACCCCACCTTAGAAGAAGACCAAAAAACGAAAATCCAGGAAGACACGGTAGTACGTACGCAAAATGGTCACCTGTCCACTTCCGMGTTATATGAMAATGATGTCACCCAATGCGGCACTGATGTCACGCAATCTGATGACCATGACGTCACAAAATACAGYAATGACGTCGCAYCACTMGAMAATGACGTCACACAGTACGACAGTAAAGTCATTGAAAATGTTAACGCCMTTTCCAGCTCGACTACAGRACTGTGTCCCTCGAAGGGAAGTAGTCCTACACTTTCGATTAAAAATGAGAGCGGACCGGCAGGAACAGCTCATCAATATAGTTCATTACCACCTATTGAGTCAAGTAGTACCTTAGAAGTTGAAAGTAAAGTCGCAAAATCTCCTAAGTCTTCCGCTAAAAGGCTTCATGTTTCACCTAGTCCGGACTGTTCAAGGAAGAACATTGACGATGACAGCATTTCAGAAAACGCTGCCACTGATAATACCCTGTTATGAAAGTRAGAACGATTGTATGTCACAATATGSRGGAGGTCGGTGATCTTTGCTTTAAACCGTGGTAAATATACTCAGATTGGACGTGAATATTTTATATCACACACAGTGAGTAGTGTAGGGCTGATATATATGGCCGTTCCTATTAGTTTCGATGGCACAGGAAGGGGTGGCGAATGGTAAAATCCGGGATCCGTCGAGAGCCCGAGATTGCTGTTTTAAAATCCGAGATCGGAGATTTTAAAAATTTCCCAATTCCGAGAAGTGAGATTACTGTTTTTATGTTCTTGTTTATCGAGTTAACACGGAAAAAAACATGTATTTAGAGCAATTATGCATTGAAAAATTCTTATAAATCAACGCTCTCGAGAGCATGCCGGCAATTCAAAATCTGAGATCTTGTTATAGAAATTCCGAGATCCGAGGCGAAAAATTTGCCGGAAACACGAGATTCAGAGATCCTTTTTTGGCAGTCCGAGATCTCGAGATTCTACCAAAAATTGCCGAGACCCAGTTATTTCTAGGTACCATTCGCCACCGCCACCCCTACAGGAAGGGCAAAGCTAAAAGAGGTTAATCTTCAAAGTGCCCGTCAGGTCTAATAACTGCTATATTGAATAGAACTAAGACAACTATCACAGTTATTACATACCGTAGAAATATTACGCAAATATTGCCATTGGCAACCATGTTTCCTTGCACACTTCTGCTTAGTTTTTGAATATTGAAACATATATTATATTTACAAAATTCAGTTGCTTTTAAGTATCTGGACGTACTCTCTGTATCAAAATGTTGTAAGATATCTACAACTGATAATGGCAAAAAGGAAGTCGTAACAGATCGACTTAATCTCAAACTTAATGATTTTCGTATATGACTGATAAAAAAAGCCACGACCGCAGTGCATGCCGGTTGACTATAGGTCTTTAAAGGGGTTGCGTCAGTATGTTTTGTTGTATATTTTGTATCTTATATGTAGCAGTATACAGATATTTTAGAAAACCTTGATTGAGTAGTGAAGATAGTGAACTCCAAGACCGAAATGCCTTGTTGCTTGTCGTATCAGCGCTCGAAAAGGATAATTTAATGTTTCAAAGTGACTTTGACAGCTCTGTAACTTCGATAGGAAGCAATCACATATTTAGATTGTCATTTTGTAACGCATTTAACGCGGAGTTTCAGCAACAATGCATTTTAGCCTTGCAATATACCATACAGTATCACTCATTCAGTAATCAACGGGATTTTTTTCTTTCATTTTTCACAAATATGATTATGGACTCAATAGCATTTGTTGATTATCAAAGCTACAAAAATACTTGAAATTTCGTTAAGTGTAAGTAAATATTCGTGTACAAATAGATAAACAGGTTTCTAATTGACCTACTAAGATCGAATGTCACATTTTCTTTATTGATCTTGTATATCTACTATCTGTTATTAGCGCAAGGTCAACGGCCTTTCCTTTTAGCTATCAAAGTAATTGAAGTTCAATCTAAACTTCACACTAAGTAAATTTCTTGATGGCAATTGACGTTTATCACAATAAAAATTGTTGATRTATGAAATKATAGTGTAATATTTGACGCCTTTTATCGGAGAAGTCGGCTTAAAATTAAGTGAATTTAATTGTGGACAATCCAATAAAAACCGGTCTGTCGAAATATAATTGACAAACCAAGACTGAATCCACGAGTATGTTTCTTTTGACAACTACAGCTAATCCCCGATTAGCCTGCGTTCAGCCGAACCAAAAGTCSAACACAACGACAGTTTTGGTTGGGCTGACGGTAGGCTAATCCACGATTTATCACAACGACTTATTGCCGCGTAATTTTACAGTAGTTAACTTATCCTGCGAAACACTGAATAGATTTCAGTGATGACTTGTGATGACTACTAAAACTATTATTTGCTTATTCATCTACAGAAAATTTCACTGTTTAAGTGTAAAAACTTATCAAAGCTAAAGATTTCTCTCTCACCTGTTCTTCTATCCGAGACAAATCCTTCATCTAGTAATCCAACTGCCTTTAGAAAAGATGGCGTCCTTGCGGATAACGTAAGCGCATCACCAACGGCTTCGTGGAACGCAGGATTGGCACCGTTACGGAACGAGTACGGCTGCTTTGCGTACATAATGTCGTACTGGATATGACCCATTTCGTGAATAACAGTGAGAAGCTCGTTTTCATTGACAGATGCACATGGCATTTTGATTCTGTGGACAGTAACGACAGTATACAACTCAAAAATCGCCTCCGAAAAAAAAATCGCGCAACGTAACGGGACGCGCGGATCCAGAAGAAGAGCAATTTATACGTTCACTTGCGCGGACCTTTGAATTACAACTTTCGCGCGGGATATCGGTTTTTTATCGCACCGGTTTTTACTGCAGCGCTAGTGTGATAAGTCGGTTGCAACGATAGTCGATGGGCCACTTAATCGATTGATCGGACTGAATGCGCGACGATAAATCGRTGCAATAATCACACGACAATAGCACTTTAGCATTGTAAACCAATATCAGTGTAAACCAGCACTTGTAGAAAAGTAAGCACTTTTCCAAGGTACAAAATTTCCGATTCATTTCATTAACATATTTAGCGATTTATTAGCGATTTTTAAGGCTCTTTTACACTTGCGACTTTTGCTCCAAATTTTCGAGCGAAGTACAAAAATATAATGGATTTTGTCTTATCCTTCTGAGGAGACGTTTAGTTAACTCATRAATAGATTTCAAGTTAATTCTTTAGCATYATTYTCTAGGAACAATGATGATCACAAAAATCGCAGCAAAAAYCGTCGCAGAAAYSGCCAGTGTAAAAGGGCCTTTACGGTGCAGTTTTCGCACTGCGATCGCACTTTTGAGTTCGTTTGTATAGCATCTACTGTACCTGTAGTCTCCAGGCGCAAAGTCCCAAGCTGTTACAGTACAATCGACATTCTTTTTAGGATCGCGACTGAAGAGGGAATTCTTCCAAAAATTATCATTCATCTTTTCCAGTCCCATGGACACATAGAATTTTTCAGCTGTCTTTGCCATGYCTATAACGTTCATTTTCTTTTTTAACATTGCTGCAGTAATCTGTAAATCGCTTGCCTTTGGAAACGGCATGACTTTGTATGATAGGTACGACCAGTCAAACCCCCACATGTCCAGMARRTGGGAAGGAAAGGGGCCGTCAAASTCSACATTCTGGTCGCTATAAATCTGTCTCAACTTRAACCTGTAAAGACAATTTATTTGATTAAAGTCTCTATCATAAATGCGACAAAGGTTTTSAAGTGGTCCCGATATCAAATTAAAGCGAGTGCCGTATTCCTGACCCCAAAATTGAAAACTTGCAGTCCCGTGCCAAGCTTTCGAATAGTAGCCTGATTTTCAGCCGAAGTCTGGGCCACAGTACGCAGTATCCCAACGAAACTTTGGGATGGAGAGCCCCGGCTGTAAATAACCCCTTTCCACTCCATAAATTTTACCGAAAAGCGCGAAATTTCCGTGACGTATTCAATGAAAACTTTTCATAATTTGATCAAGCCCGATCATCAACGTAAATAACACGATAATAAACAAAACAAATAGCGTACATTGCTTGAGAAAAGCTTATATTTAAGTTRCTGCGTGTCGAGTTGATATGTAGCTCTATAGAAAATTCCGCGCAYGCAGTCAARCAAGCTGGTGTACCKCGAGGCAAGGTATCGTGACGTAATGCCACAGGAAATCCACATTTTTAAAGCGCGTTTTCGTAAACTATTTTATCATTTTTGTTTATCATGCATGCATATAATAGTGGTAATTCTGATATAATAATAATGAGAAAAATATGAAGAAAATTTAAGTTGGTGGGCTCCCTGTTACTAGTAGAGATATGAACCGATTGCGTGACACATTTAGTCAGTGCGCACAAGATCGAATGTCAAAATCAWTAAACTTCGCAAAGAATTTCAATGGAATATTACAAAATAAGATACGAAGAGTATACAGAAAGTCTTAGAGCTTATGATGTTATGAAGGCACTTTCTTTTACTTCTAAGATTTTGTATTATGTAAAAGAGACTYTCTTTTACATAGCTGAGCGTGACCTCACTTCTATCGAAAGTATAAATTTTACAAAGTACAGACGTTCAATCCGAAAATTTACATTTTTTCTCAAAGGAAATAACTTAAGCAGTATTCTTAGATGATCACTTCAACACATTATTCTTGTATTTTCAATAAAAAGGCTGAAGCCGCAATTGAAAACACTAGAAAGCGAGCGGGAACGCGGGTCAAAGAATAGTAGATCTTGATTTGCATAAAAATCTCCCGAGCGTGAAATGCCGGTTAATGTTGAAACAATTTCTTTCTAAGGTTAAAATCTGGTTTATAAACTTCCTAATGAACTGGAAAAGAAAGTATCCTACCTAATATAACCATGGAGTTTTTCATAAGTCGGTTTTAAGTCTTCCCACAAGTCTTTCATCAACTGAATTAGCTTTCCTTTCGGTAGCTCGTACTCAGACCTCCAACTCTGGCCTATGTCATCCCAATGATGATCATGAGCGCCAATATTCATGATGTACGTGTATCTTGCAAAATAAGGCTTTATGTAAGGTCCGGTAGAATCGCGGAAGCCTTTCCAKGCAAACAGACGCTGTTGGTAGTTGAGAGACTGTGCCATGGTTTGAAGTAGATTCGGAATAAGTGGCCAAAAGACTTTACATTTTCCATCTTCAGCTTTTATACACACCTGTGTAGGAACGTAGTTATTGTTATGGTAAGAAGACTAGTAAGATGAGTTTTTAATAACAAGAGTCATCTATCCAATGATTAGCGCTCAAGTCCTGTGTGTTGTTGAGCGGGCAAACTTGCAGTGTAAATAGCAAAGCCGTGAGTCCCGCCTTTAAATATTTTGTTCATTGACCAATCAGAAACCAGATCAACTATCATCTAGGTGCATTTTCACGTGCAAATTTGACTCAAAACTTCAAAGCTACAAATAAATAAAACTATTTTATCGACAAAACCCGACCTGTAAAAGTCACAAATAAAGACGTTTCAGGGTTTCATTGATGATAATAAATAGGCAAAGTTCCTCCTTTTAAGTTTTTGTCCCTACTACGAAGTAGTAGACACTTTGTTATCGTGTCTAATGCAAATGAGTAAGTAACAATGGAATGACGTCAAAATTCAATCAATACCCCTTCGGAAGACCCATAAACACAGGAAGCCCTCGGAAGCGATCGGCAGAACATATAACTTAGTGCGAACATAGTTAATAGTTAATATTAACTATGGTGCGAATGACCGCCGAAAATTCAATCATCTCTGCGGTTTTACGAACAAGTTCGTGAAAATTTCTCGTGGTATTCACTGCCGTAAAAGTTTGCGAGGTACGTTTACTTTTGTGAGTATATTTTGCCTTAGTTCTTCTTTGTCAAAGCTTTCATTTCATGGAGATATTGTTCGCACTTTATTACTTTGTATCCAATAAAAAGTGCCTTCTATTGTTATTAATAAAAATACCTAACGACATTCTGCACTTTCTTTTTGTTGTTGTTGTTGCTCATCAACAGTACAGTACCAAAATGAAGGATGTGTGAGGCTCAATATTTGTGTTCCATAGACTTAAAGCACCGATATTTACAATCTGCATACAGTCGTAGTAGGCACATGCGCTGATTCAGCGCCTTTAATTCATCCTGCTTTCCTTTAGTGTCAGATAAAGTAATTTTTCAAATAATTCCTGAAATTCTGCTCGGTAACGGCTTTTTGGTTTGTRTTTCGCACACTGTATAAATAAAATCTATGTCTTGTGCTAGAACTTTATTGCCACATGATATAAGAGATTCTTGCATTCTGAATATGCATGAGAGATTTCAGTTACTTTGTATTTTAAAACGCTTRATGTAACACAACACTCGACGGGCTGCACTCTCACCGAGAAAACGGCGCGAAATATTGAATGGCTTCCAATCTCTGATTGGCTGCTTTCGCTATTAAGGTTATCCGTCTATTGGTTAACACTAACACCTTAACATCGAGATTTTTTTAGGCAATTAGTTTCGTAACTAGTCAGTCCATAACATCGTTTTTTTTTACTGTAAAATTGAACTCATCAGCATAATGAATTGTCAATAGAAGATCAGATTAACTCCAATTAATATACCCTAATATAAGGAAAACTCGATGATGTCAAAATATTGTGTGACTTTTTCGGTGACTCTTGAAGTACCTGTCGCGGCACCAGCCCAAGAAAAAAGCAAAATTTACCGAAGTGTGACTATTTTAAAAGTACAAAATCAGTGTTTTACATATGTGGGTATATTTTCATGCAATACTTACGCCTCCCTTCCCCCACAACTGTGTCATATTAGACACAAGTTGGCTCTGCTCATTTGCTAGACTGGAATCTTTGGGAGAATCGCTTTTGCTAATAAACATGAGCTGACGGCTTATCATGGAGTCCAATCCTTTCTTAGGCAATTTCTGTGCTTTAGCTGTAACTATGTTATCAAATTTAGTGTAGTTCGCTTCTGCCTCGGCTATTATAGCTTGCAATTCTGGCTTCATRTCGGACTGAAATTTCCATGTTGCGCCGTAGACATTRACATAATGCTTTTGCGCTTCTTTGTTATAATTGTCAACGAACTTCTTCGCTTTTTCCTGATTGGGTTGTGCTTTGGAAGCAACCCATTTCGTGAACAACAAAGTGAATAAAATGAAAAGCAGATATTTGACTTTTTGCATGATGGCCAGCTYGCGCGGTTGTAATGTTATTATGAAACAATACAAGTGACACTCAGCAGGGATGATACGTCACATGACCATAATAGAATGATCACTGTTCAAAAGTTCAATCTTATCATCAATGATCAGCTGATCACTGGTCTTTTGTTAATCCCTTAAAAACAAAAGAAAGAAAAGAACGGAAGGGAAGGGAAAAGAGAAGAGAACACTGAGAAAAGTAATGAGAAGCTGAGAAATTAAAAAGGAACTCAGTAAAATGGAATGAGAATAAAAAGAAAAATCCATCGGACATCAAGCAATGTGATGGATCATGTAGGCAAGCGTATGATGCTTATGATCATTGTAGGATGATCACATCCGTTTGTCCAGCGACCAGACCAAAATTTTGACACATGTCAACTCCTGCGACGCGCTTGCCTTTTTCTAAATAAAGTCGATGTATTGTGAAACAATTGAATATACAATACATTAGAATGATGTGGTATGAGAAAAATAGGTCCATTTCRTTTCAATTTTAATGTCTACAAATAAAATAGATTTTAAAATCGCTTTGTTTTCTTTGCAGACATGCTGGTAAATAGCATCGGTTCTTTTTCGTATAAATCAATGATAGTTTTCTAAAAGGCGTCAGTTTTTTGCATTAGAGCTCTTAAACTTCAAAACTAGAATAAAAATATATTTACATTGTATAATGAACTATAAAATATAACGCACGGAATGACATATTCAACAATTGCTTGGATTCCAAAACTTGCTGCATCCAGATTAAAAAGTCAGACTACTATCAATAAACCTGCAACGACACCTGTTGATGTTTGGTTCCGTTAAGTAAATAATCCATGACACTTCATTATTTACCAGGAAAATGCTCAAAACTACTACTAACTAGTTRCAAWCTTACAAATTTACTTACCCCACCTTCTCCCCATATCTGGGACATTGTTGTTATTGCCCGGCTTAATCGTTTAGCCATGCGACGATTTTTCGGAGACGTACTTTTGCGAATAAAATGGATCTCACGTTGAAGAACAGGGTCTAGTCCTTCCATCGAAAACCCTTCCGCAATATCCGTTTCAATGTTATTGAAAGCACCGTAGTTRGCTTGCGCTYTKGCAATTTTCTCTTGSAGTTCTGGAGTCATGTGCTTTTGGTACTCCCATGTTACCTCRTAAAGCTCTCTGTGGTAGTTTTCTGCCACCTCGTTGTATAWATCCACAAACTTCTGAGCTCTTTCTTCGTTTGTTTCTCCTTTGGAAAGCATCCAATTTATGGAAAACAGAACGAGAACGAGAAAACAGGGATTGTTCCTGAGTTTTTTCATTGCTTGATTGGGACTTCTACTTCCTGAAAATGGCATGGGTTTGCTAGCTTGTTTTGGTGTAGTCACAATCCTTTTTTAACTTTTTTGATCAATTTCTATGAAGCAGTATCCTTCCAGCTTCAAAAGAAGTGCATTTTCAGTTCCTTATTGAAGTATGCGATACATGTACAATAAATTCATTATATTTTAAGAATAAAACTCTATCAGGCCATTGGCGTTATATTGACAATGTCTGAATGGAAAAACGAGGATTTTAAATGAAATCGTCAATCTGAGGGCAAATCGTTTCAAAATCTCTTTAATTTAGGCTTGTGCTAGCAATCAATATCTTCAGTTTTAAATCTAAAGGTTGGCGTTCTTTGCTTGCATCAGAAATGTTGCAAATACAATAAAGCCGATATAAAACCGATTTTGTCAACTTGTCACTCGTGCATTTATCGCCATGTTTGAAAAATCATAGAATCGAAAAAAAGAAGAAGAAAAGCAGACGATTGAAATACAAGCAAATAAACAGACAAACAAAAKTAAAGACAAAAGGAGAAAACATATTGATTTGCGCGCAACTTGCGACGCGCTTCTAGAACAAAACGGTTAAATGGTGCGCAAGATATCGATACGAAAGGGAAAGGGTGATATCGATACGAAAGGGTAGTGTGAAACAGTAGTGGTAGACATGGATGCAAAATTATAAGCTATCATACGAAGAGTTCAAATTAGTGTCAAGTTATTTCATAACAATTTAATAACGGCAGCACCAACTAAATTTAGTTTCAGCTCATATTTGTTGCATTGAGTTGGGATTCCTGTGTCAGCTGACCCTGTACAGCGGCTTTCATTATTTCAAAACAAAATGGCGGCCACCATCCATGTAGAACTTTGGTAAACGAACTTTGATTCACTTCACCGATCAGCAGTAAGCGACACCCAATAGAACATTTGCACATTGATGCATTCAAACAAGCTTTATGTAGMGATGCCGTATGAAGAAATAACGCTGGGAGCCGCCAGCAATGAGCGACGAAATGGTGAAAGCCGAAGTCGAAGAGGAGGCAATAACTCAGGTGAAGATATGAAAATGGACGAGGTGCCTTTAATGATGGAAGATGGATTCGATTATGATGATGACGATTATCTTTCCGAAGGATACGGCTCCACCGTCGAGGGAAAGAACGCTGCAAGAGGCAGACGAAAGCGAAAAGCAAAGCAAGGAGGTTTTTGTTCSAACTGCTGGTGGTTTTGCTGTGGCGGTTGGAAAAACTGCTGCGAAAGGTACAGAATTTATCGACTTCTAAATCAAACGAAGCTGTGCTTTATTATCTGGAGTGACAGTTAACTAATGTTTATTGAAATTCACAAAATCCTCATGAAAAAAAAACAGCTGATAATACTTAATTTTCCTAAAAAATTCATCTTGTTTCAAACGCGGAAAAATAGARGAATGTACATGTTATCGTGTATATTTAAATAAACCATGAACACAGTGCATTAAAAGCTTGTCAGTGGCTCATTTATATTTGATATATGGCAAGCTGTCAACCAACATATCTGTAGGGCAAGGTTTATATTTCGGTCTAAAATGAAGTACTTAAGTATTTGTTTSTAATTTGATCGTTTCTTCCAAATTGCTTCCCGCGGAATTTAGTATAAATTCAAACCTAGTTGTCAAGTGGGCAGCAACTTGATAATCGTTAAGTTAATGAGTTTTTAAAACTAGTCAAAACAGTATATGGTTCAATTTCTTGCAAAATTATAAACGCTTGGTTAAATGAATTTAATTAAGAGAATACGTTGTTTGGGCTACCTGTTCACTTTCTCTCACTAAATGCATTGCCYAAATGATCATTTCCAGGGCAACAGGCCTTACTAAAGAAAATGCTAATTGACATTATAAAAAATTCAATGCAAATTTATTAGGATTGTCAACATCTGTAAGCTGGTGGCCCCATTTTTACCAGTTTCACATTTACTAGTAAATATATTGTATGGCCTTATTTTACTGAAATGGTTTTGTATTATTTAAGTATTCTAATTCAATATTTTGCACTTGGCTAGACTTGGGAATAAAATCATGGGCAGAATTGAAATGAAATCAAGAACAGTGGTGCTTGGAAAAGAGGTAGGTTTGAAATGGTTTTCTCTTTTGACTTTTTGGTCATCTAAGTGTACATGAATTTCAATCTAAACTTGAAGTGTCTAACCAATTATTCCTTTGAAGAATAGCTTTATATTATTACTATCTGTGTTTCCTTTCCATGTGTTATTTAATAAGCAAAATGCTTGAAAACTGAGGCCAGCTGATAAATATTGATTTTATGATGAACAATTTTTGCTGCTAGCCATTTTATAGCAATTGGAAATTCTGTTATTTTTTAGTAGTGGAACAGAATTATTATGAATTATATAATAAATTTACAAACTATATACTAAAATATCATTATTGTTTTATATGATATCATTTACATCCTAAGTAGAAGATATTTTATACTGAAATTAAACTAATATTTTGTGGTACACTTAAACTAATGTTATTGCTTGAGTGCATTTGAACGTAAAACCATAGAGTACAAACACTAAAACTGTGCAACATAAATGCCACTAAATACTTCTAAATTATGCTAATT